CTTTAAGGATGCTCAGGGATCAGGAATAATTATTTGTGCTTATTTTTTATTAGGGTTTGGGTTTGTCGAACATACTTACAATTAGACTAAAACAATAGAAGTCTGTGATACTGTGTCTCAAATGGAGACCCCATTTGTGTGTGTGTGTCTCTGTGTGTGTGTGTGTGTGTGTGTGTGTGTGTGTGTGTGTGTGTGTGTGTGTGTGTGTGTGTGTGTGTGTGTGTGTGTGTGCGCGCGTTTATATTTGAGAGAGAGGACAAAAACAAGCTTTAGTGTTTAAGCCTCAAATGTGCTATGAGCGGATCTGTCTCGTGGGAATATGAGTCACAGGTAAATAGGTTCCTGTGGGCCATTTCAGTGTGTGTGTGTGTGCGCGCAAGTGTGTGTGTATGCATGTGCGTCCATGTGTGAAACAGTCCAAGGCTGAAACTCTGGCTGCTCTTAAATCTGCTGAGAAACACTAGAAGTCTCACTGGTCTTTTAAAGCTAACAATGAAACAACCTGAAAATCTGTCATCATTTACTCACCCTCATGTGTTCCAAAACCCGTTAGCCTTTTGTTAATCTTCAGAAAACAAAAAAAGGTGAGGGGTTTTCAAATCAGGTGAAGACGTCACTTTATCTGATGAACACATTTAATGCTCATGCTTTTATTCATATATTAACAGCTTAACTATAGCTGGTTTATGCATAAGGACCAACCTGGATGGTTTTTGAGACAATGTGACACAAGAATGCACTTCAATGTTTCTCTTGCATTAAGCAAGCACAGATGGAGATTTTTTCTCAGACTACGAAACAAAGCAAAACGGCAATATAGACCTGTTTCAAAACACGGTTTAAAACAAAAATGCACTGGTGTAAATACAACCTTAAAGTTTAATTAAACCAGTAGATATAAATGTTTTTTCTTTTTGTTCAGACATTTGTGTCTTTTTATCGACATTTTACACAATAAAACAACAATTTCAAAAAGATTTTAAAAAGAGTCAAATTATCTTTGCTCCAACAGAGCCCCCTGACCCACTGCACCATTTCTATACATACACATCTATACTAAGCACATTCTTAATCTGGTTTACATCATATCATGATATAATCATGCATACATAATCACTAAAAAAGACTTTTGCTGCTTGCCTAAACTAGTAATTTAAAATGAGTTGAATCAACAAAATTCTTAATCTTTTTGAAGGGACAACTTTAATGTTTTGTTCAATCCACTTAAATTTGTTAAAACTATTAAAGGGATGGTCCACAGTGTATTTTTAAAACTTGGTTGTGTTTATAAGATGTTTGCTCATGCTTCATTTGTAGAAAATCACGCTATTTTTTTCATATATCTTGCTTTGATTATATACAGCTACTCAGCTAACATGAAACAACCATCTTATGTCCTAGTTCCTCTGAAAGGCCTGCTCTTAAAAGGCTCTGATTGGTCAGCTATAATAATGTACCGCAATTTACGGATTGGCTCCATGCCACCACGTCAAGCTACAAGCGCACGTTTTTGTGCTGTGACAAAACAGTCAGTCAGAGCAGCTGTTAGCAGCGTTAGCTGCTTGAATCAAACAGAAAAATGAAGAGTACACAGCTGAACCTCACGCCTGCTGTCTGAAATAAAATCTGACAAGTGTCTTTCACATATTTTTGGGTTATAGGCATAGGTAAGTAATATAAAAAATTCTCATATCTTTTTGCGAGTTTGTTATTTGAGATTTAGAACACATAGAAAGTGGCTGCATAGAGAGACACAGCAGCGGTTTGACTGATAAATATGAATTTGTAGCTAAATTGTTTGCGGTGCCAAACAGCGTTTCCCTGTGTTTACGTCCTCGCTACAAAATAGCGTTGATGCTAGAAACTGTGCCTGTAATCGATCAATTTTAACAAACAAAAATACTTACAGGTTGTGGCTCACAATCCACAGCTTCGTCGGTTGGAGGAGTGTTTAGCCGAATCCAGCCCTGAACTGGGAGAGATTCTGGAAGCTGTCCTTTGTCAAGTGCTAGAGCTATATCGTTTTTATAATTCTCTGGAACATAATTAAAATTAACCTGTCAGCTCTTCTCTCTTTGTGTCATGTCCTTTGGAAGCCCAAATGCAGAAACAGAACACACTCTGTGGAAAAGGCAGCATTTGGATGTCATTTTAGCTTTCTCTGCTATAACATTACAGCGCCTTCTGCCACGCCCCTTCGCTGTGCGGGGTATATGTGTGTAGTGAATGCGAGTGACCTGAAGCGTTTGTGATCTCATTAACCTGTATGTAATTTTTGTAGTCCCCAAACTTCGTTCACTGTAGGTTTTGCTAAGCTAACTCTGTAAAAGCCAATGTCTGTCTTTGCATTGAACTTTGAGCGTATTTCATTCAGAGATGTTGTTTATGTTCACACAACTACATTACACATCAACTAAAGTTTCGAATATGACATCGTAGTGGACAACCTCTTTAATAAAAACAAAACTTAGTAGTTTGGTGTGAACAAACTTTCAGAGTATAAGCAGAATTATTGTTAACACTTTAGTTTAGGTCACAATTCATGCTATTAACTACTGGATTATTACCTGCCTATTATTAAGATTATTGTTGATTGATTATTGTTATAATTTATGATCTTATTATGCATTCCAAATTGACCCAAAATCTAAACCCAACTTCTACCTTACTAACTATTAATAAACAGCTAATTAGAAGCTTATTAAGCTAGTAATGTAAGCTGAAGATTTGTTAATACCGTGAATTGTGACCTAAACTAAAGTGTTATTGAATTATCTCATGTTTTGTTTAAAATATCTTTGGAAGTTAAAATATCTTTGGAGTTTGGAACAGCAAAATGTTCAATAAATGATGACAGAAATGTATTTTCTACTAAATGCTTGTGTAATGTGTAATGTAAATGCCTGTTCCCATGACTGTCACGTTTGAGATAATGCAGACCGCTTTCTCTAAAAATGATACATTAAAAAGATGTTAACGTTCATTTTCTGACAGTCATCATAATGAAATGCAGAATAGTCACACACTGATTTTCCCACATCTGAGATTGGATTGCAAAACACGCTCAAAAAAGCCTCAGAGGGGCACCGTCCCTGTGGATTCTGGGTAATGTGTGCCCTTCAGCGGCTCTCGTGTGATTGGTCCAGACCTCTATCAGTCAGTCAGATCTTGAAATACACCGGGTGTGTTCAACCATACTCCCCACCCACTGAACCAGAGCCTTAAGCGACATCACTCATGTTGACACACACACACACACGAACACACACACACACACACACACGAACACACACACACACACACACGAACACACACACACACACACACGAACACACACACACACACACACACACACACACACATACATACACTTAATTGAGACCAGATGTTCACTTTGTAGCGAGAGATGTTTCCTCCTGTCCCAAATCCTCTGGTGTCTTGAGGGATGTGGTGATGAGATTGTCCTGCTCTAAATGAGGACGCCACACACACACACACACACACACTGAAGCTCCCTTCAGACTTCATAAAGCAGCAGGACTCCCGGAGCTCACGAACAATCAAAGTTTTATAAGCTCCATATTATTAAAGGCTGATATCTATCTGTACATCTATCTGTCTCTCTCCATTCGTCCATTCTATTGTCCGTTCTATTGTTCATCCGTCTGTCCATGCGTTCGTTTGTCCGTCCCTTCATCCGTCTGTCTCTCCGTTCGTTCGTTTATCCATCTGTTCTATCGTCCGTTCGTTCATGTGTCCATCTGTCCATCCGTTTGTTCATCCATCCGGTCTATTGTTTGTTTGTCCATCTGTTCGTTCTAACATTTGTTTTATCGTTCATTCTATTGTTTGTCTGTCTGTCTGTCTGTCTGTCCGTCCATCCGTCTGTCCGTTTATCCGTCCGTTCTGTTGTTCGCTCCATCGTCTGTCCGTCCGTCCATTCGTTCGTTCATCCGTCTGTGTGTCCATCTATCCGTCTGTTCATCTGTTCGTCCATCTGTCCGTTCTATTGCTCGTTTGTTTGTCCGTTTGTTCGTTCTAACATTCATTCTATCGTTTGTTCGTCCGTCCCTTCGTCCATCCCTTCGCCACTCTATTCGTTAGTCCATCCATTCTGTCTATCTATCTATCTATCTATCTATCTATCTATCTATCTATCTATCTATCTATCTATCTATCTATCTATCTATCTATCTATCTATCTATCTATCTATCTATCTATCTATCTATCTATCTATCTATCTATCCATCCATCCATCCATCCATCCATCCCTCTTATCGTTTTATCATTTTATCACTCTATTGTTTTATCATTCTATCTATCAATTATTCTATCATTCGTTCTATTTATTGTTCTATAATTCTATCGCTCGTTTTATCATTCATTCTATCTATCATTTTATTATTCTATCATTCTTTCTATCTATTGTTTTATCATTCTATCATTCGTTTGATCATTTTAGCGCTCTATTATTCTGTCGTTTGTTCTGTCCATTGTTTTATCATTCTATCATTTGTTTTATCATTCTATCTATTGTTCCATCTATTTATCAATCGATCTAACTATTTATCTATCTGTCGACATATCAACTGACTGATCGATAAGATCTTACACAAACATTTATTATGATGGTATATTTCGCTATAGTATATTTATGTGGTAATAAAATGGTAATAAAAAGTTGTTTATTTCTGTATTGTTTTCAGTAATTCAAGTTTTAAATAACAATAAAATGTTTTTCAAACTCAGCAATGTTATGACGTTTCGTCAACTTTTATTTAGCTAAGATCAAACCGCAAATAAAAATCTATTGAAGCAGAATACACAAAAATAAGTGGGTGCATGCAGTAGCAAAGCAGAATCAGTTTGAATAAGCAACTGGACTAAAACTTTCTGTTCAACATAAATCCATATTATTGAACTTCTCTAATAATCACATTTTTAGGTGTTTCTGCTTCACTCAAACTGTTTCTGTCTGTGTTTGTGTTTGTCTCGGCAGTTAGTGGCGGTGTTTGATGAACAGGAGCCTCATGTTGGAGGAGACGGCACCAGTGCCAGCTCTACAGGCACACAGTCTCCTGAACTCTACTGTGGAGAACCGTCCACCTCCACCCCATTGTCTGCCTTTCAACCCTACCTGCCCCACAGCGAGATAGAAGTCACCACATCCACACTGCGCACCAGTAAGAGACCGCTTCACAATATAGGCTACGGCCGCATCTGAAAATCCTTAATCATGTGACCAGCATCAGTTGCGTCAGTCAACCACGTTTTCATTAATGACTTTGTTTATTGGAACATACTACTTTTTTCACTTTAGGGCTGCTGTGATTCGTCAATATAACCGACTGAGTGAAAGCGTATAATTAGTTGTCTTTAATATTTTTATTGACTTACCATTTTATACTATTATACCTTTTTAAAGGCTTCTTCAAATCAAAATTTCACATCTCACGCATCTACGATTAAGTAGAACTGATTGTGATTTCAGATCCAGCTGAGGTGTTTGAAAGTTCTGTCGCTGTGTGGGCTTTTTTTTTTCTTTCTTGTCACTCAATGGTCTCTCTGTTTCTCTCAGATATGCCTTTGCATGTTCGCCGCAGTAGTGATCCGGCATTGTTAAACCTGACGGCGATGTCTTTCTCTGAACCGGGCTCGCAACCCGAAGAGCCTTCCAGGAAAAACCCCACACGCTGGTCCACCACTGCTGGCTTCCTGAAACCACGCTTCGCCACTGGCACCAACAGCCTGGAGAGGAAGGTGAGGCTGGGCAATTCAGTCTTGATTTTTCAAGATTGCTTAATTTCAATTTAATTTTCAATAATCTGGGTTGAATTTAATTGTTTTTATTTGTAAATATATAAATATATAAATATATATATATATATATATATATATACATACACATAAATATACACGGTGGTGAAAAATTTTTCTTTGGCCCCTTACTGAATTCTTATTATATGTTTGTCACATTTTAATGTTTCAGATCATCAAACAGATGTCAATATTAGTCAAAGATAACACAAGTAAACGCATTATGAAGTTTTGAAATTAAAGGTTTTATTATTAAGGGAAAACAAAATCCAAAACTATATAGCGCTGTTTTCCTCAGTTTTGCTAGAAAGCATCTTGATGATCCCCAAGACTTGGGAAAATACTCTCTGGACCGACGAGACAAAGGTTGAACTTTTTGGAGGGTGTGGGTCCCATTTTGAGTGGCATAAAAGTAACAATGCATTTCAAAAATAGAACACCATATCAAGAGTAAAATGTCTGGTGGTTTGGGGCTGTTTTGCTGCTTTAGGACCTGGAATACTTCCTGCGATAAATGAAATCAGGAATTCTGCAAAAGCACACCAGCAAGTCCATTTCTAAAAGAAAGAAGAAAACAAAATGAAGATTTTGGAGTGGCCTAGTCAAATTCCTGACCTGAATCCAATTGAGATTCTGTGCCATGACCTTAAAAAGGAGGTTCATGCTCAAAAACCGTCCAATCTGGCTGATTTACAACAAATTTGCAAAGATGAGTGTGCCAAAAATACCTCCACAGCGATGTAAAAGACTCGAAAATATTATAGAAAATTAGGGGTGTAACATAGAGGTCTGCATTCCCTCCGAACAATTTCTTAATAAAGCGCGGGAGCACTCGGTAACTCTGGTGTAATTTGAACAGGAGCGGGCAGTCTAACAATATCGATCCTGACTCCTGAGCGAGCACACGTATGTATGTGTGTGAATGAGAGAGAGTGTGATGCTGTGTGTCGCTTGCTTGGTGCCGTGTGTGTGTGTGTTTATACAGACAGCTTGTTATAGGCTGGGAAAGGTTGCGGTGGGTATAAAACAGGGCGGGTCAGACAGCGGGACAACAAATGCTGAATATAAGCAGGAGCGGTTAGGTTCGGGCTAAAACCTGGCGGGAGTAGGAATAAAAATTGAGTGCTGTGCAGATCTCTAGTGTAAAGGATCGTGATTGATCTGTGATTCGTACCGACCACAACCTGCGATTCGGAACACTCATGACCTGTGGATTAATAATTTTTTTATCTTGTAGATTAATCCTAAATTTGTAATGATCGCAGAGAGAACGCGTCTCACGTCAAATCACATGTATGAAATCATTTAGGATTTCCTGTAAAATATAATGATGACGATAGAAGTCATGGTAGGTTATTCAGGTTGTGGTGGGTTTCTTAGGTTGTTGAAGGTGTTTTCTGTCACTACTTGTTTAGCCTGCATTAATGCATTCAGTGTAAGCTGCACGATTAATCATATAAAGATCAGGATCTTAACACCCACGCAACAAATTAATGAAGCTGATTTACATATGTTTATTAATCCTTTAAATCGCTGAATTCAAATCTGTGTTTGAAAAACTCAAAAATCAAGAAAGAGATTGAGTCTTTGGGGTTCTATATGGGATAACAGTTTATAATTGGGATAAAGCCACTGATGTTTATGGTTAAAATTAAAATCACCAAAAAGAAAAAAGAAAAGTTGTGGGCAGCAATTACATTATTTAATCAGCCATCAAAAATATACCACTGAATAATTCTTCAAAAATTAAAGTTTTAAGAGTGAATAACCAAATCATTTATTGAAAATGAGGTGGGTTTGTACTAAATATAATGTTAGATTTCTACATTTAGCGTTATCAGCAACATTAGTAGTAACAGTGAATTGTTCACAGTACAGAATTTTTTACTATTTATTTTTATTCACCTGATTATTTCTTCATTTTATGTTTAATAAAATTACAGGTTCTAAGATCTGTTTGTTTGAAGCAAGTGTCTTGCAGTGCTGTTTTTGTAATAAAAGGAAAGCAAATTGCATTTGTCGTCTCCTCTTTTTGCCTGATCAGAAAAATAGTTCGATTCGTGACTAAAAAAAAACATAATGTGATCCGAACCTTGAGATCTGTGATCCGTTACACCACTATTGAAAATGCTTAATTTCAGTTATACATGTCAGGTCCAATGTTTTTTTGGACCCTGTATAGACCAAAAATAAAAATGTTTTAAGTTTCTCTGAAGAATTCATAAAGACTAAATGATCTCTTTAATGACCTTCTCTAATGCTAATTGATGTTCACAAAGCTTTTTGAGACGTTTAAATGCATAAACGCCCTGTTGACTTCACTCTCTGCTGTTTGGAGGCCGTTGGGTTCCTGCTGTTGTTAGTTCTCAGAGCACATCCCGTAAATCTGACATCTTTAGTGGCCCAGGTCACATCACCCTTCATGACATCTCTATGAATATTAACTGTCGTTTCTGAAAGGTTCACAACCCCGCATCTCACCAACAGTAAGAGCCCCACGAAGCGCATCACATGACTGCGGCGAATGTTGTGTTGCTGTTTGTGTGTGGAATTTATTATGTGCGTCCGTGAGTTCATTTAATGCGTTTGCTGATGCGACCATCATTTTTTCTGTCTGTTCTCCTTCTAGCAGAGTAATGCTTATGTCAATGCTAGTCATAAAGCGCTGCAGACAGTGAGTTATGGATTTGGCTCGCTCTCTCTTTCTCTTTGTTGCTCACGCGGTTTCTTTCATCTCAGTTCTTTCTTTGCTGTATCAGGATGTGATTTATAGCTTATTTTCTTATCAGTCCTTGTAGACCTAGAGAAATATTTGGGCAGCAATTTACAGCTGTATGCTATTGTTTAACCCCCTCATACCTGAGTTATTGTCCAAATATCAAAAATATGTATAAGTGCATTTTTTATGTTCTTAAGACTTCCATAAATGAAGCCAAATTAAAATACTAAAAAGTCAATATTTTTTATTTATTTATTTTTTCATTTCACCCAGGCCAAAACAGTTGCACTGCACAAACAATATAACAATGTGAAACGGAAAATAAATTAATACAGATTGTTAGACACATCATTAGAACTCATCATTCTTTATAACACACATAATTATATTTAACATTTAAATGATAAAATTTTATTATTATTATTTATTATTATTACATTAATTCATTCATTAAATATGGATTTTTAATTGAACGATAAAAGGCCAATATAAAGGCTAGCAGGCCTTAAATTTGGTAAAATGTTACGAAAGCAAAAAAAAAAAAGATTTGATGTGATGCCAATTGTAATGCACTCAGGGTCTGAAAGGGTAAAAGAACATTGTATAATTGTGTATATTATATATTACGTTTTCTATGTGTTTTATATATGTTTATATGTATATTCTGGTTTATTTTATATTATATATTATGTTTTACATTGTTTATTATGTTTTCATGTTTTTATTACTTTTAAAAACATATGCATTTAAATTTCGGTGTAACAGAGAGAACTAAGACTTCTTAGTATTTTACATGAGTACAGGTCAAGACAAAATTCAAAAAATATATTTTAATTATTTTTAAATATTGCCCAAGAGACATTGAGAAGATTTTTTTCAACATTTTTAAACAATGTTTTTTAAAGCTAATTTCCAATAATGCATTTTTTGTTGTCTTTGCCATGATGACAGTAAATAATATTTTACTAGATATTTGGAAAATATTAACATTCAGCTTAAAATGTGATTTAACTAGGTATTTAGTTTAACTAGAAAAATTTGGTTAGTTATATACTCATTGGACGACTGTGAGGCAATAAAAAAAAATCTTAAGAGTCGCTAATAATACTTTTTAAAATGCTTTTTTATAGCCCAACTAAAATAATAAGACTTTCTCAAGAAGAAAAAATATTATCAGAAATGCTATGAAAATGTTCTTACTTTATTAAACATCTTGGAGAATATTTGAAACTGAATAAAAATTTTAATAGAGAACTAATAATTGTGCTTTCAACTGTATACACTATAAGCTGTTTTCTTCTGTTGTGATGTTTGAATGTTTAAATAATGTTTGGACATGGAAATAACTTTCTTAAAACATCTATGAACACTTTTCCAACTCTTCCAACATTTTTAAAAAGCCATTTGAAAGGTCCCAAACTCCATCGACAATGTTGTCTTTATTCAATATTTATGTACACTTGAAGTCAGACATATTAGCCCTCCTTTAAATGTATTTTTTTAATTCTTTTTTTTAAATTTTCTATTCTATTTCTATTCTATTTTAAAATATTTCCCAAATGATGTTTAACAGAGCTAGGAAATTTTCACAGTATGTCTGATAATATTTTTTCTTCCGGAGGAAGTCTTAATTTGTTTTATTTCAGCTAGAATAAAAGCAGTTTTTAATTTTTAAAAAAATATTTTAAGGTCAATATTTTTAGCCCCTTAAAGCCATATATTTTTTTGATAGTGATAACTTGCCTAATTACCTTAACCTGCCTAGTTAACCTAATTAACCTAGTTAAGCCTTTAAATGTCACTTAAAGCTGTATAGAAGTGTCTTATAAAATATCTAGTCAAATATTATTTACTGTCATCATGGCAAAGATAAAATAAATCCGTTATTAGAAATGAGTTATTAAAGCTATTATGTTTAGAAATGTGCTGAAAAAATCTTCTCTCCATTAAACAAATAATGGGGGAAAAAATAAACAAGGGACTAATTTTCAGCTGGGCTAATAATTCTGACTTCAACTGTATATACATATGTCTATTTGGTGCAGATTGGCTTCAGCAGTTTTAAGAAAACTGTCTTTAACTCTCTCTTCAGGGTCGAGGTGTGGACACATATCGTAGTCTTCCCCGTGATGCAGGGCAGTGGTCCAATCAGAAAGAGTTTCAGCGTGAAAAGGCCCGTTCTTCACTCAGTGCCAATCATCCCATGGTGGACCGCTGGCTGGAGAGGCAGGAGCAGGTCAGAATAACCCACATCTCATATGATCTAATTAGATGTAGACAAAAATGTTGGTACCTTTTAATTTTGTCCAGGCCAGTTTCATTAGTTTTCCTTATTTAATGTTCCTGTTGAACCACAATTCGCAAGTAATATCTGATTTTCATTTTCATTTATTTTTTTTCTGTTAATTTTTCATTCATTTAATCATTGCTTTTTTCACATTCAAGTTATTTTAGTGAACTCTTTTACTGCTTCAATGCAGGGCTACCAAATTTTTTTTCCACATCTGTATTGATCAATTTAAGCTTTGGTGCACAGAAAATAATCTATTGGTCATTTTTATGATAAATTTAGTTTTTTTAATAAAAACGAAAAGTTAACTTTTTTTGTAGCACTCCAAAATTATGCTTTTTATTATCATGCATCAACACACAATTAGTACATTATCTAAATAAATCTTTTTATTAGCATGCTTATTTAAAAAAAATATATATTCAATGAAATAATAATAAATAATTTTTTTTTTTTTTTTAGGTGAAATTGTGCATTTATATATTGAATAATATTTATTAAGCACTTGCTGTAGGATTACAGTTTAGGTTGTTGCCTGTAATAATTTATCATATACTTTTTATTAATACAGTAAATGCATGGAACATTTGGCTCATATTGGCTTAGAATTGATAATACAATAACAAAGGTTTTTAATACAACAACTACTACTACTACTAACAGTAATAATAATAATAAATTAATAAAATAATGCAAAAGTTATTTAATAATAAATAAATAAATTAATTAATTAATTAATTGGGGATCAACAAAGTAGCTAAATAAAACTGATTAACAGCATTTATTTTTAAATAATTAAAATAAATTATGATCAAATAAATAATAATAAATAAATGCATTTGCTTACACTATAGTTTTGTAGGCGAAATTGTAATTTATATACTTAATAATATTTATTAAGTACTATATATATATATATATATATATATTAGGGATGTAACGGTATTGTAAATACCGTCATACCGCAATATTAATTTTTTTCGATATTACCGAAGTCGCATGACTCGGTAAAACTATAGGTCTTCTGAGAAAATTTGCTCAGGCGAATGAAGCGAACGGGAGGTAGCGAAAACTACAATTGCCATCAGCCCATGCTTGACCATCATCCCTTGCAGTCTGTTGTCGCTACAGATCCAGTAATGCGGAAATGGAGTGTGCTGCTAGAAGCGGGGATGAAAAGAGCTGGAAAACTCTAAGACCCTGTTTACACTAATGCGTTTTAGTTTGAAAATGCATAAGTTTTGCTACGGTTACGCCAACCGTCCACACTACGCCGGAGTTCTCGAGCGCCGAAAACGGAGCGTTTCTGATATTCTGATACGCTGCTGCTCCGTCTCAGTGTGGATGATGGAAAACGGAGACATCTGAAAACGGAAGCGGGGCTGCAGACATTCGCCTCTCTGATTGGGGCTTTTTTCTGAATATTAAGTAGCCTAACACACAGTTCAGTCCTGAATCTTCTCCGTGTAAGTTCAGACTTCGCAAGTTTGATCAAGGCTGCATCTCTTCTTCTCAGTTTGATATGGAAAAGCAGATTATACAGAGGACACGGGTAAATCTTCAAAGGGAACAGTGTACTTTATAACTTCATTCACATCACCCTGGCTTCGTTGTTTCCCTTTGTCAACAATAAAATGTAAACATGATTTAAGGAACTGCCTATTTTTATTTTAATATTAGCAACTTAGACAGCAGACATGTTGAGGCGTCTTGCTGCATATATGAGCGTCATCTTCACTGTGTGGATATTTATAACAAAACGGAGCCGATAACAACTGCCTCCTTTCAATTTCAGTGAAAATACGAAACACACCCTCTTCTGCTGAATATCAGTTTTAAGAATCGATAATGGCCATTTTAAAAGTATAACATACAATAAGTTTATACATTATAGGAAATAAAGGCAAGCGATCAGTCAATATACAGAATGTACGTGGTTACATTAATCATTAACTTATCTTTGCGCTCAGCCAAAACACGTTACCTGAGAACAAGTAATAGATTCCAATGCCCAAAGTCAGGGAATATGTCGTTAGATAAAGACAACAAGATAAATGAAATATCCCGTTTAATAAATATAGTGAGATTAGATCCAGCGGGAGATGCTTGATGAGAAGTCCGACTAGCAGAGCTCTCATCTGGGTAGATGGGCTGAGTGTGATTAAATGTTGAATGTGATGAGTTTTCAACAATACTAAATTGAAACTTTATTTTTTACATGGTTTAATATTTTTTTTGTTATTAAAATTGAAGTTCCTGTTTCAAAGCTTACAGATAGATGGCTAATTTGTATGTCATTGACACTTTTGGCACTTTTTTGGAGTATTTTCATAAGGTTTGTTTTTTCCTGTAAATGATTCAATAAATACCGTACCGGGACATTCATACCGAGGTATTACCGTACCATGAAATTCTGATACCATTACATCCCTAATATATATATATATATATATATATATATATATATATATATACACACACACACACACACACACACACACACACACACACACTATAGGATTACAGTTTAGGTTTAGTTGCATGTAATATTTGGCTCATATTAATAATAAATAAATTCCTTTGGGATCAACAAAGTAACTAAATAAAACTAATAGCATATTTATTTTTAACAATTCTATTCTAATAATTAATGCCTTTGCTTACGTTATTTTGAGTTTTTTTACGTAAAATTGTGCAATAAATACTGAATAATATTTATTAAGCACTTGCTGCAGGATTACAGTTTAGTTTAGGTTTAGTTGCCTGTAATTATGTATAATTTACTCTTATTACTACAATAAATACATGTAAAATTTGACTTATATTGGCTCTGTGTTACCAAATAGTTTAGCAATATTTAACTGTAAAATAAAAATCAAAGATCTAAGAAGAATATAATAGTATAAAAAGTGAAAAATAGACTGGCACAAGCGGTGCTTGTCGTTCCAAAATGCTGACACGGTCTGGGCACAGCTCTTGAAACGTGTGCTGCAGATGTTTTTATATATTTGTTTAAAATCGCAGCCTTTGCGAAATTATAATTGCACTCAGCCATATCACAATTTCATTTATATATCAATTCATCACACAAGCCCTCTTTTAAAGGCTCATGTTTCTTAAGAAATCTATATTTCAAAACTTTCATAGAGAGAGCCAGGCTGTAAGTAAGAAATTAATCATTGAACTTTCGTAAATCTTGGACATCAGACAGATGAATACATCAACAAGTTAATTGGTGCCTATTGGGAAACCAGTTGGTTGGCTCTCGGACAGTCATACTTAGATAATCACAAATAAATCCTATTATTGCTAAACACCACAAAAACAACACTAAAATGTGTGAAAGTTCATCCAATTCAGCAGATTCTGGCTTTGTGGTGCCTGCTGATCTCCTTGTCTTTCAGAACGTAATCATGTCCACATCTGTAAAAGTTTATTTGGCACATTTGAGTGTAGATTGTGTTGCAACGTAATACACACTTTGTCAAGAGACTGTTATTAAAGGATGAGGCCGTTGAAAAGCGTATTCGTTATTGGACTTGACAGCCAAAACCACAGTCTGTGTCGTTGCAGATGAAAGAGCTGTTGTTCGCTTTATCTGCAAAGGGACCTCATCTTAACGGCATAGCGCACTCATTCTTAAGACAAGACAATGCATCTTCTATTTATAGAACTTGGTAACATTTACATTTAGATAACCAGAGATTATTAGACTGTTTCACAGAATTAAAAATCTGTCAGTTTAAAAGAGTTTTTTGGCGAACAAGCAGGTGATCTTTATGTATTTGTGTTGTGTTTATTGGAATTAAAGAATTGAGGAAGCACTGAAATCAATTAGATTGAGTTTGGAGAGAGTAGAGACATACGTGTGGTGTATCAGAGAGAAGATTGTGGAGGAGGAATGTGTGTGTGCGTGTGTGTAATTAATCATAAAGGTAAAACAGCGCTTATAAATCACTCTCAGCTTTACACTGCTAATGAGATGAGACTAAATATAGATCTCACTGGTTTTCATCCCAACTCTTCTCTTTCCTAACTCTGTTTCTCTCCAGTAGGTGCTGCTGTAGGGCAGTTGGATCTCACTGATCAGCTTTTGTACTTCTGTTGCTCCTTGTACTTGCATTCATGGTCATTTTATGTTAGGCTACTGAGTGTTTTGTGTACTGGTGCATGGATGGATGGATGTACAAGCAAATGAATAGTCAGAAAGATGGATGAGTGGATTATTGGATAAATAGACAGACAGACAGACATATGGATGGACGGACGGACGGACGGACGGACGGACGGACAGACGGACGGACGGACGGACGGACAGATAGATAGATAGATAGATAGATTTACGTAAGTGGGTGGATGAATTAATTGATGGGTAGATGGATGGATGAATGACTGGATGCAAGAATAGATGGATTAATGGGTGGCTAAATGGATGGATGCATAAATAGATGGATAGATTTAATGGATGGGTGGATATATACATGTATGGATATAAGAATGAATGGGTGGATAGATGGATAGATTTGATGATGTAAGAATTGATTGATTGGATGGATGGTGGACGGATGTATGGAAGAGTAGATGGATAGACAAAATGAATGAAGGAATGAATGAAGGAATGAATGAATGAATGAATGGATGGATGAATGAATGGATGGATTTAAGAATAGTTGATAGATGGGGTAGATGAGTGGGTGGGTAAATAAGATAATAGATTGACGAGCAGATATAGTAGATAAAGGTGGATGGATTAATAGATGGATGGGTAGAAAATCAGTACCTGGATTGGCAGAAAGATAGATGGGTGGATGAATTGTTGATGCATAGATGTAAAGATCGATGGATTAGATGTGGATGAATGAATGAATAAATGAAAGAATAGCTGAATGGATGGGTGAATTGATGGATGGATGGAAAAATGAATAGATTGGATAGATTGCAAAGGTGAATGAAGGAATGAATAAATGGATGGATGGATGAGTGGATGGATGGATGGATGCATGCAAGGATAGATAGATAGATAGATAGATAGATAGATAGATAGATAGATAGATAGATAGATAGATAGATAGATAGATAGATAGATAGATAGATAGATAGATAGATAGATAGATAGATAGATGGATGGATAGATAGATAGATAGATGGATAGATAGATAGATAGATAGATAGATAGATAGATAGATAGATAGATAGATAGATAGATAGATAGATAGATAGATAGATAGATAGATAGATAGATGGGTGGATTGATGGATAGATGGAAAAATAGATGGATAGATTGCATAGGTGGATGAAGGGATAAATGGATAGATGGATGGATGAATGGATGAATGAATGCATGCAAGAATAGATAGATAGATGGGTGGATAAATGGATGGATGCAAGAATAGATGGATAGACTGCATAAGTGGGTGGATTGATGAATGGATAGGTGAGTGGATGGATGAATGTATGGATATAAGAAAAAATGGATGGAGGGATGAACGGATGGATGCAAACATAGATGAATAGATTGGATAGATGTATGAATTGATGTAAGAATAGGATGGATGGATGGATGGATGAATGAATGAATGAATGAATTGAAGAAGAGATGTATAGATTGGATAGGTTGGTGATTGGATGTATTGCATAGGTTGGTTGATGAATGGATGGGTGGATGGATGAATATATAGATGTAAGAATAGATGGATAGATTGATGAATGAATGAATGGATTGATGCAGAAATAGATAGATAGATTGGTGAATGAATAGATGGATGATGGCATAGATAGATACATTTTATCTGTTTTCTTGTCATGCATAGCAACACCTCAGCATTTTTCAGGTTGCTGAAATAAGAGCAGGTGTACAGCTCGAACATAAACTAATAATTGACTGAATTGGGACGAGCCCTGGAAATATGATTTCATCCCATCGGGCTTTCTCTGAATGAGTGTATTAATGCGCAGTACAGCTTTACTAAGGAAAACAATGTACAGAGCGGCTGTTCTGCCTTTGGTTTCTTATGCTATTAGTCATTTGATGTTTAGGAGAAACTGAGCAGAATACTCAGAAAGACAATGGCTGTTTGCAGTGTGTGTTTGCGAGGGGAAAGCCTTGGATGGGATCCGAGCGGGACAATGGTTTGGCAGTCTCCTCTGATGATTTCAGGCATGTCTGCTGTTGTCAGAAGGCCAGCGGTGCTGATTTGATACAGTCGTGCCGTCAAACACACACACTCTTTTGTCATATCAGACAGCTGTTATATAAGACGGGATGGTTGAGGTTGCCGTTGAGGGTGTATTGTGTATCACAGCTATTTTCTCTACTTCCTTCTATTATGTTTTTTTTTCTCTCTGTATTACATATTTGAAAAGCCCTTGGTCACAGAGGAAAAGAGTGATTGACCAACTGCCCTAGATAGAGAGCAGCTCATGGGCCACTGGGGTAATGGTGAAACAACATGGGACAAAATAAACAGAACATTCAGAGAAAAAGAGAGTGAGAAATTCTGTCTTCAGCCTTTTCTGTTTCCTTTTCTGATTTCTCATATCTTTTCTTCATTCTTTTTCATTTTGTTCTCCTTTCTATGTCTCCTTTTTTGAAAATCTTTGTTCGTTTTGACTTTTTTAGATTGCCTTTTTAGTTTTTAGATTATTTGTATTTTCAGTTGAATGGATGAATGGAAGGTCAAACAGGAATATGGATATATTATAGGTAGGGCTGCACGAGTCTGGCTAAAATGAGAATCTCAATTGTTTTGTTGCTTAAAATCAAAATCACGATTTTCTTACAATTCTGTAGATGTAAAATAAAAATGTAATAATAAAACTAGTAGGCTTTTATTATTGTTATTTACTAAACATATCGTGAAAAGAACACTAATAATATTAGGCCTATGTTTAGGTCTACTGTTGGTTAAAATGCTCAATTTTGTATAGACTTGGAATGGTGGACTTTACACTCCTCTTCTGACCTTAAAAATAGAATTATAGAAAAGTGTGTAGGGTCCTATCGAGATTGTTATATTGTAGATAGAAGTAGATTGATAGATGGATGTGTAGATAAACTGCTAGATGGATTGAGTTTTGTTTTTGTTTTCTTTTTTGTTTTTGATATCCTTTTAATTTGTTTTTTTATTTGCTTTAAAATATAATATAATAAAAAACTTTTTGTTTTCATTTTGTTTTCTTGTTTCTTTTTTGTGTTGTTTTTTGCTTTCTTTTTGGTTTTGTGTTTCTGTATTTGGTTCCCTTTCTTTCTGTATTTTATTTGTGTATAAAATACAATATAATTAAAAGCCTTTTGCTATTTGTTTCTGGTTTTTCTTGTTTTTTCTTTTTATTTCTTTTTTGTTTTCTTTTTTGTCTTGTGTTTTTTTTGCTTTTGGTTTCTTGTTATCCTTTTACTTGGTTTTGCTTTTTTTTTGTTTCTTCTTATTCTTTTAATTTAGATTTTTATTTGCTTTATAAAATGTAATATAATTAAAAGCCTTTTACTTTTTGTTTTTCACTTTTTTCTTGTTCTTGTTTCCTTTTTTCTTTTTTGTTATGTTTTCCTGTCTTTTGTTGTTTTTGCCTTCTTTTTTTTGTTTCTTGTTATTTTTGTACTCTTGTTTCTTATTTTCTTGATTATTTTGTTTTCTTTTTCTTTTTTTTTGTTTGTTTTTGTTTTGTATCGTTGTTTGCTTTCTTTTTGGTTTCTTGTTATCCTTTACTTCTGTTTTTTATTTGCTTGATAAAATAAAACATAATTATAAGCCTTTTACTTTTTGTTTTAATTATCATCTTGTTTCTTTTTTGTTTTGTTTTCTTGTCTTGTGTTGTTTTTTTTAATTTCTTTTCAGTTTCTTGTTGTTCTTTTATTCTTGTTTTTTAATTTTCTTAATTATTTTTTCTTTTCTTTTTCTTGTTTCTGTGTCCTTTTATTTTTTTGTTTCTTTTTTGTCTTGTGTTGTTTTTCGCTTTCTTTTCATTTTCTTGTTATCCTTTTACTTTTGTTTTTTTTAGTTACTTAATTGTTTTTTGTTATCTTTTTTGTGTTTTTGGGTCTTTTTTAGAGGTGTAAACCTAATGGTTCAATTCCAGTTATCATGCATTTTATTCGGTTCAATTCGATATCTCGGTGCGTCTCGGTTCATTGATGATGCTTTCCATAAACAATTTGATATTTTACTTAGGAACACAATAATTAATGAATTAAAATTTAGAATTTATAGACATATTTATATATTATTTGTAATACAATTTTGTCGTTTTACACAAGCAGTCAGAAATATAAATCTTTAATTTTACCTGCTCAAAGAAAACTCTTTTTGAATGTATCAAACAAAACTCAAGTACATGCTCAGAAGAACATGAGCATTCAAAGCAAATAAACAAACGTAAATATTGTCCGTTAGCTTTTTGAACGTTGTTGATCATGCACTCAACAGCAGCTCTGGCCCTGTTCAGCAAACAGTGACACGGACACTGATGTTAAATGGCCATGGTGATCAGCTGATCCATTAAAGATGGCGATGCGGTGGAGAAAAGTCATTCTGCAGACACGCTTGATCCACAAATAACATTGTAACAGCCAAGAGAGGAGATAAAACGTTACCTCATGAACACACCAGCAGGTCAAACAAACTCACAAGCAGTCAATTGAGCAGTTATCTGCTTTTTAAGTAGTTGGAGCATTTTAATTACTCACGGTCTCCTCCCTCGCCATAACAAGCTACCGCCATATAACGCAAATGTGATAAATGACGTCAGTACATAATAACCGATTATGATTATTATTAAACCGATACAGTATTGTTTGCGTCTGCATTGCGGTATATTGAAGAAACTATTAATTTTGACAACCCTGGTCTTTTTATTTTTTACTTTTGTTTTCTTTTTTGTCTTGTGTTTTTTGCTTTCTTGTTATAGTTTTACTTCTGTTTTTTCATTTGCTTAATTAGTTTTAGTTTTCTATTTCTTCTTATTTTTTCTTTTCTTTTCTTACCTTGGTGTGTTGTTTTTTTCCAGTTATTTATTTATCTTTCTTATCATTGCATTTTCTTTTGTGTTTTCTTTTCATTAATTTTCCTTTAATTATTTTTCCATTCATTTTATTAACATGTTCTAATTTGTTTTCCTTTTTATTCCTTCTTGTTCTTTTTTGTTTTTACCTTTTTTTTCCCCTTTTGCTTTCTTTTTTTCTTTCTTTCTTTTGGTTCACAGCCTCTGCTGCCTTGAGCTGAATAATGCATGTATCCACATCAGCCCCTGAGTTATGTTTGGACATGGAGTTGTGCATCTGTGTGTGTGTTTTTGTGTTGTTTTCCATCTTTAATTACAGTTTGAATGACTGTATAAGGTCCAAAATAATAGGTTCGGATGAAAACTACCTTCAAAGCGGTTTACACTAACACACAAGTAGTGTCTCCGCAGCAAAACATGGACCTGTGGCTTACTACAACTTTAATGAGAGCTTGTGTATGCATGTGTGTGGGTGTTACTGGGATGATAAAGTGACATGAGCTAGTGAACATGAGCTCTTGTGTTCCTCTCACCTGAGCCGCGGTGTATCAGGTGAAACATCTCAGAGGATGAATTCCTTCAAACTGTTTAGAAAAAGAAGAACTGCTTATCTGTCTGCTGAAGTCTTCACCCAGGTCATGCTTTACATTTGTGTTTCATTTCTAATTTATTGACATTGCGCTGTGGTTGTTATTCATGCAAATGGGTTTCTGGAAGGGACTTGTTGAGTGCGATCGATGCATTGTGGGTTTAGCGGTTTTCTTCTTGTTGCAGGATGAGGAGGAGAATGGAAGGATAGAACCGGTGGGACGTGCGGACACATGCTTGGAGCACATGGGAGTGAGATCATTGGAGTAAGTAACACGAACACTGTAAAAAATGCCACACAATTCCTTCATGTTGTCCCAACACCAATAGATTAAGTTCACTTTTTTTCCAAATTTAAGTAGATTGAACATAAAACAATTAAGTTGTCCCCAAAAAAACAGATGAAATCAAAGCTAACAATATGATTTTGTTTGCTCACATTACTAGTTTTGTGGAACAATGAACAATTCATCTGTGCATGTCATTAGGAACACCGTTAAATTCTCAATTACGTCTGTCTGAGGTGGGTGTGGTTAACATACTTGACCACACCCCTCCAACTGTCAGTTTTGACAACAGAAATGGTGAGGATGAGGTGTCTGTTAGGTTGTAATAACTCTCCCCAAACCCTTTTCCTGAGTCCTTACCTGAGATTCAAATGCCAACTATATTACATCCAATCAGCTTGCAGTACAAAAAACAAGCCATGCCCACTTTTTTCTCATATATCACAATATCCCTTTTCTTTAAGAACTGCGTCACAATATGAAAAAAAAAACAGTCACAGCTTCTGCTTCATGCACAGTTCAAGAAAGATTTTATATAAGTATAGTTTGAACAAGGGGTAAAAGTAATTTTTTTGAGTTGGTTTTGGTGACTTATGAGGACTATCCATTGGCGTAATGCATTTTATACTATAAAAAGCATATTATATGGCCTTACCCTACCCCTTCCTCTAAAGCCAACCCTATAAAACATTTTGAATGTAAAAAGAGCCCTGTTAGATATGATTTTTTAGTTGTTGAGCAAATAGGGAATGTCCTTGTGAACCACCTCAATGTTGTAATATCTAGGTCATACTCATGTTAGTATACAAATTTGTGTCCTCATAAACCACCAAAGCCAGTACACACACACACACAGACACACACACACAAATGGACTGACAGCGTCGATCTGATCTCTTATTGTATGTGAATCTCTCCTTCATGCCGTCAGTTTGATTTGCAGGTAATTGAATATTTTTTACAATAAACCGTTTTATTGTAAAAGATTGCATCAGATTGAAATGTTGATGATTAATGTCTCATAAACTGTCATCTATATGATTGGTTGAATCTTTCACTGTTGTGTGAAAGATGTGATGATGCGAGTGCCAAAAGAGTCTTTGTGTGAATGTTCACACTTTTTGCTTACGCTATTTTAAGGTGTCCTTGTTACAGTGTAATTGTGTATTTAGCTCCTGAGTAATATTGTTTTAAGCGATTAATATATTAATATTAATTAAAATAAATATATTTCAGTACATGTAGTTACTGTATGGTTACTGTTAGAATTTGGGTTAGGTTTAAATTTAGTTGCATGTAACTAATAGTATTTACTATAGTAATAGTTATGACACGTGTTACAAGGACCCTTTAAAATAAAATCTTTTTTTTCTAGAATGTAAGTCGCGTTTATATAATCTGAAATGCATCTTGTGTTGATGTTAATCAAGGAATACTTGCAGGTAACGCTGCTAATTTAATATATTTACTTTTTTTGTTTTTGACTTGACTTTTGTAATAAATAGTTTATCATTTATGTTACTTTCATTTTTGTTTGGATTTTACGTATTTTCCATCTTTGTTTTTCTGTTCCAAAAAGTACATCCGGTGTAAATTTGAAGCAATTGTTTTTTAAGCGAAAGGATCTAGAAATACATGTTTATAATGTTTTTATACATTTAGTTTTATTTAGAGCCAATATTTACAATATTTCTGTATGAAAATACTAAATGTGACTAATAAAAAAATACAGCAGTGCTACACAGAACTGATATTAAATGACAATTAAGACACTGGAGGTTACTATTTTATCATGCGACTTAATGTCCCTAAAATACAGTAGCTTCTAAGGCATTTGTTTTCAATACACAGTTGAAGTCAGAATTATTAGCTCCCCTGTTTGTTTTTTCCCCAATTTCTGTTTAAAGAAGAGAAGATTTTTTTTCAACACATTTCTAATCATAATAGTTTTAATAACTCATTTCTAATAACTAATTTATTTTATTTTTGCCATGATGACAGTAAATAATATTTGACTAGATATTTTTCAAGACACTTCTATACAACTTAATGTGACATTTAAAGGCGTAACTAGGTTAATTAGGTTAACTAGGCAGGTTAGGGTAATTAGGCAAGTTATTGTATAATGATGGTTTGTTCTGTAGATTATCGGAAATAAATATAGCTTAAAGGCGCTAATCATTTTGACCTTAATGTTTAAAAAAATAAACAAATAAAAACTGCTACATTCTAGCTGAAATAAAACAAATAAGACTTTCTCCAGAAGAAAAAATGTTATCAGACATACTGTGAAAATTTCCATGCTCCGTTAAACATCATATGGGAAATATAAAGAAAAAATTAAATGGGGGGCTAATTATTCTGACTTTAACTGTAGATAGACACGTAAGCAGTGTCCATATAGATGCATTAAATGTAGTTATATGACATTCAAACGAATGCATTTTTAATCTTTGCATGTTCAGACTCTGCCCCCTGTGCATTCAGACTCCGCCCTATGAATCTTTACATAGAAACGCATGCTTATTGTCTCTCTCTCTAATGGTTTTCTCTATGTTTTTCTTATGTTTCTCTAGTGATATTGTGAAATTGGTGGAAGTGTCCAATGACGGGGGTCCACTCGGCATCCATGTTGTCCCCTTCAGTGGTCGAGACCGCAGGTACACTGAAAAAAAATGGTGTTGTAAATATAATATGATTAAAGTATGTTTTACACAAAAATAATATTGCGGTCTTTCTGCTACTTAATTTAGCACGTTACTTGCATATTTTTGTATTTTTTAAACTTATAGAAATTTCTGGGTGAAAGTAAAAATTTTATTATTGTTATTGTTATATTTGTTTTGTTATTTATTTATTTATTTATTTATTTATTTATTTATTTATTTATATTTTTATCACCGAACTCTAAGGAATCCAAAAGGTTTTGGTTTTTAAAAAATTAATTGTAAACGTTACTCAGAGCTTAATAAAGAATCAGACTAAATGCTATTCACATTTGAGGGTTTATAAATAAATATTTTGGCTTTAAAAAAATAATTAAGTAAATATAAACCTTGCGCAAAGCTTAAAAAACATCTGATAAAAATATGAGTGTTTAACAACTTTAAACATATACAAATATATATATATATATATATGTATATATATATATATATATATATATATATGTATATATATATATATATATATATATATATGTATATATATATGTATATATATATATATATATATATATATATATATGTATATATATATATATATATATATATATATATATATATATATATATGTATATATGTGTATATTGTATACATGTTTAAAGTTGTTAAACACTCATATTTTCATCAGATGTTTTTTAAGCTTTATAGGTTTATATTTACTTGTTATATATATATATATATATATATATATATATATATATATATATATATATATATATATATATATATATATATATATATATATATAATAAAAGTATTTTGCATAATTACTCAACTGTATATATTTAAAAAAATTATATTTGTCCAATGATTATACATGCTTAAAGTCACTGTGCTATGTACAAAATATGGTGTCAGTAATTTATAACATATATATTCATCATTAATTTATACACGTAACATTTTTAAGTGTTATTTTTTATTAAACAGAAAGGTCCCATTTTACTTAAATTGTAATAATTAGAGGAATTTAATTTATATTGGCCATGCGCTGAGATTTAAATGGATTTTAGGTAGTGTCAAGAAATTAAATGACTTATTCAGACAAAGTAATTAAACAAGTCATTTAAATGCAATTTCAATGATGTAATTAGGAATTAATTGCTTTTTTATAAGCAATTTTTTTTAACTTGCACAACACTACCTGGCCCATTCTGAACCCAACATAAGCTTTTGATTAGTTCTAATAAAAGTCTTTCATCTTCACCACCTGATTCTCCACACACATGTTCTGAGTGATCATTGTTTGATTCAGGGTAACTGAATGTTTATGCAGCTCAAAAGCCTCACTGAATCCTCATCAGAGAGACTGTAAGAGTCTGTCCAGGAGAGATAGATAGAGCATCTAAACAGCATATGTATGCGAGCGGTCACCAGGCAAAGTAATCTTGCTAAAAGCAGCTTTATATCTGTGTGTTCTGCATCTCTGCGGGCGGCGGGCTGAAAGCGAGTTATGAAGAACGTTATTTATCTTGAGGAATTACCTTTCGTTCACAAGTGCTTTATGATGCTGCATTAGTTTCAAAATCGTTTGATTCCATATCAATCATATTAATGTTTCATTTTAAATGGATGTTGCTTATGACTGAATAAATAAGAAATCTTTGATTCGAGGGATGGGTATAGCTTGTGTGTTTGTGTGTGTGATTGTTTATGTGGTTTATGAGGACACACTTTTGTATAATGATCAATGAAAAATCCTACTCCAGTAAAAGTACTATAACTTGCCTAAAAATGTAGCGCAAGTAAAGTAAAAGTATCTGTTGTAAATATTACTCAAAGTATGAGTAAAAGTAGACCTTTTAAAAGTAGAGTATTACGATGTGCAAGTTTCATTTGTTTAAATGCAATTTGTGCATGTGTGTGTGTGTGTGAAAACGTAACATTCTGTAGTACATTTAGTGAATAAAGGCCATTTGGTGATTTCAGTCCTCATACAGTAAACATCCTTCATCTTTATCGTCATCTAAACAGTCTCTCTGTAATGATTTTGCGTCTTTTTGCACACTTTTAATGCTTTTACACTACATGTTTGGTGCATTTATAAAGCGCTTGTGTTTTGAGGTTGTTCTGTATGATGCGATTTTGTCTATATGTGATTTGATTGGATGGGAATCCCCGGACTGATTATTCTACTTAGCCAATCAAATATAAAAAAAAATAAGTGACTGCAAGTAAAAATAGTAGAGTAATAGCACCAATACAGCACCAAAAAGTGCTAGTGTGAATTTAAAGTAAAACTACTTAGTAAAGTACAATTCTTGAGATAAACTAATCAATTGCAGGAATTTGAATATTTGTAATTTTGTTACATTTACGCGACTGATAACAACACGGTTAGGATCTAGGTACTAAAATGTTGAGGTGGTTTATGAGGACATTATTTTTGTCGTAATTTTAAAACTGTTTAAAAGCATATTTAACAGTTTTTTTTTTGCATTAAGATTAGTTACAGATTTTCTGCAAGGGTTGGGTTTAAGGGTAGTGATATACAGTTAAAGTCGGATTTATTAGCCCTCTTGAATTATTAGCCCCCTTGTAAATTTTTTCACAATTTCTGTTTAATGGAAAAAAAAAATTTCAATACATTTTAAAACATAAGTTTTAATAACTAATCAGACCCCCCTAGTTTTTCACAGTTTATTTTGTATTTTTAAAAAAGTGATTTAAAACAACTAATTTTGTAGTAGTAATTCCCAGAACTTTGCGAACATTTTTTTTTTCAATTAAAAAAAAAAAAAAAAAAAAATATATATATATATATATATATATATATATAAACATAAAAAATATTTTTATCCACAATCTTACTTTCTCACAGATTTCACTCCCCGGAGCATCTGACATCGTGTACCTCACTCAGGCTTCCCCTACCATAACACACCTAAAAAGTCCTAATATATTTGATTTTTTTCAAGACACTTTTATACAGCTTAAAGTGACATTTAAAGGCTTAATGGCTTTTTAAAGACATTTAAAGGCTCTGTTGAAAATTGTTTGGGAAATATTTTAAAAAGAAATAGCTAATAATCGTGTCGTCAACTGTATAACCAGAGTGTTTTACAGTGTAGAATACCCAATTATGCCTATGTAAAGTCCTTATAAATCACCAAAGCTAACCTGTTTGTTTCAGGACGTTGGGTCTGCTGGTGAAGCGATTGGAGCGTGGTGGAAAGGCTGATGTCCAGGGTTTGTTTCAGGAGAATGACTGCATCATTCGGATCAACAACGGAGATCTGCGCAACGTTCGCTTTGAGCAGTAAGGCTTGACCTCTGACCTCTGACGCGAGTACTGAGTGGTTGATTATCCATTTAACTCCTTTCTCTTGCTCCTTTATTGATGCCATTACACTTCTGTTCAGGCTTGAGGAGATTATTGATTAATCCTCTGACTGTGGTTGTTTAATATAATTGCAGTTGTTTCAGGTGACAGCAGTAATTGTGCGTTATGAATTTCAGTCATGTTTTGAAATTAATATATGGGAGCTTTAAGCTTTGGGGAAATGCCATTTTGTGGATGCTATCTGGTGTGGAGGAGAAAATTGGGGGGATCTTAAGATTTGATTTTTGTTTTGTGTTTAGTTTATTCATTCATTCATTTTCTTTTCGGCTTATTCCCTTTTTTAATTCGGGGTCGCCACAGAGGAGGCCAACTTATCCAGCACGTTTTCACGCTGCAACCCATCTCTGGGGGAGACCCATACACTCATTCACACACACACACACTCATACACTATGGACAATTTAGCCTACCCAATTCACCACATGTCTTTGGACTGTGGGGGAAACCGGAGCATCCGGCGGAAACCCACGCGAATGCAAGGAGAACATGCCTTCTTGCTCTGAGGCAACAGTACTACCTACTGCGCCACTGCGTCGCCCTTTATGTTTAGTTTAGTGTTTTAATTTGTGTTTAATTTACTTTTGTTTTTAGTTTAGTGTTTTGTTTTGGTGTTTAGTTTAGTGTTTTGTTTTGGTGTTTAGTTTAGTGTTTTGGTGTTTAGTGTTTTGTGTTCAGTTTAGTTTTGTTTAGTGTTTTGTTATGTGTTTAATGTTTTGTTTAGATTAGTTTACTTCTGTTTTTAGTTTAGTGTTTTGTTTTGGTGTTTAGTTTAGTGTTTTGGTGTTTAGTGTTTTGTGTTCAGTTTAGTTTTGTTTAGTGTTTTGTTATGTGTTTAATGTTTTGTTTAGATTAGTTTACTTCTGTTTTTAGTTTAGTGTTTTGTTGTTATGTTTGTTTAATTTAGCTTTGTTTTGTGTTTGGTTTAGTTTTGTTTTTAGTTTAGTTTTGTGTAGTTTAGTGTTTTGTGTTTAGTTTTGTTTTGTGTTTAGTTTTGTTTAATTTAGTATTATGTGTTTAGTTGAGTGTTTTGTTTTATATTTAGTTTAGTTGTGTTTGGTTTTGATTTAGTGTTTTGTTTTTTGTTTTGTGCTTAGTTTAGTTTTGTGTTTTATTTGTGTTTAGTTTTGTTTTTAGTTTAGTATTGTGTTGTGGTGTTTTTTGTTTTGCTTTTAGTTAAGTTTTGTGTTTTGTTGTGTTTATTTCGTTTTGTTTGCTTTTGCTTAGTTGTTTAGTTTACTGTTTTGTTTTGTGTTTAGTTTTGTTTGGTGTTTAGTTGAGTGTTTTGTGTTTAGTTTTTAGTTTAGTGTTTTGTTTTTTATTTAGTTTAGTTTTGTGTTTGGTTTAGATTGGTGTTTAGTTTAGTGTTTTGTCAATAGTTTTTAGTTTAGTGTTTTGTTGTGTTTAGTTTTGTGTTTGGTTTAGTTTAGTGTTTAATTTAGTGTTTCGTGTTTAGTTTTTAGTTTATTGTTTTGTGTTTAGTTTTTAGTTTAGTGTTTTGAGTTTAGTTTTTAGTTTATTGTTTTGTGTTTAGTTTTTTGTTTTTAGTGTTTTGTTGTAGTGTTTTTTTGTTTTGTTTTTAGTTTAGTTTTGTGTTTAGTTTAGTTTTGTTTGGTTTTGCTTAGTTGTTTAGTTAAGTGTTTTTTTGTGTTTGGTTTAGTGTTTAGTTTAGTGTTTTTTGTTTTGTTTTTAGTTTAGTTTTGTGTTTAGTTTAGTTTAGTTTGGTTTTGCTTAGTTGCTTAGTTTTGTGTTTTTTGTGTTTGATTTAGTTTAGTGTTTAGTTTAGTGTTTTTTGTTTTGTTTTTAGTTTAGTTTTGTGTTTAGTTTAGTTTGGTTTTGCTTAGTTGCTTAGTTTTGTTTTTTTGTGTTTGATTTAGTTTAGTGTTTAGTTTAGTGTTTTTTGTTTTGTTTTTAGTTTAGTTTTGTGTTTAGTTCAGTTTGGTTTTGCTTAGTTGTTTAGTTTAGTGTTTTTTGTGTTTGGTTTAGTTTAGTGTTTAGTTTAGTGTTTTTTGTTTTGTTTTTAGTTTAGTTTTGTGTTTAGTTTAGTTTTGTTTGGTTTTGCTTAGTTGTTTAGTTTAGTGTTTTTTTGTGTTTGGTTTAGTTTAGTGTTTAGTTTAGTGTTTTGTGTTTAGTTTTTAGTTAATTGTTTTGTGTTTAGCTTTTGGTTTAGTTTTGTTTTTAGTGTTGTGTTGTAGTGTTTTTTGTTTTGTGTTTAGATTTGTTTTGTGTTATGTTTGGCTTTAAGTGTTTTGTTTTGTGTTATGTTTAGTTTAATTTAGTGTTTTGTGTTTAGTTGAGTGTTTTGTTTTATGTTTAGTTTAGTTTAGTGTTGTCTTTGCTTTTGTTTTGTGTTTAGTTTAGGGTTTAGTGTAGTTTAGTTTTGTGTCTGTTTAGTTTAGTTTTAGTGTTTGGTTTTGTTTTGTGTTTAGTTTAGGGGTTAGTGTTGTTTAGTTTTGTGTTTGTTTTGTTTAGTTTAGTTTTGTGTTTGGTTTTGTTTTGTGTCCAGGGTTTAGTATAGTTTAGTTTTGTGTTTGTTTCGTTTAGTTTAGTTTTGTGTTTGGTTTTGGGTTTAGTTTAGGGTTTAATGTAGTTAGTGTAATTTACTTGTTCATACGTCCATCTGTTTATCCGTTCTTTTGTCTAATTATCCATCCATTAATCCCTTCATCCATCTATTTCATATGTCTCTCCTTTTTTCTATCATTAAGCAAGCCTCTTTTATTTTCTGTTTAGTTTTACACACAAATGCACAAACTAATTCAGGAAAAAATACTAATGCATAAACCTCCATTTTGTGTTTTGTTTTCTTTTTTGGTATGTTTTCAGAGCTCAGAACATGTTTCGTCAAGCAATGCGTTCTCCCGTCATCCTGTTCCATGTGGTGCCAACCACCATGAGGTCCCAGTATGAGCAGATATCCCATAACGAGCACAACCCCAGAGCAAACATTGACCTCTCGGGACGTTTCAGCCCAGACTCCCTCACCAATGATCTGGACAGCGCTGCTCACCGATTGGCTCAACACAGACCACAGCAACCCAATAACCATCTGGATACTGGCTCTCCCGTCCATCATCTTGTTGGCTCATCGGGCAAACCTCCAACAGGCCATACTTCATCACCCCAAAGAGGCCTAAGCCCCGCCCCCACAACAGGCTTTACTAAGAAGGTTGGGCGGAGACTCGGAATCCAGCTTAAGAAAGGTATCAGTAAAAATTTCATGATGCTTTCAGAAAATCATTATGATTTTCATCCCCCTCACAGTTGTCATGAAGGGTAATATTAGCTATATGCACTAAAACCATCTTTTGTACCAGGCTGTAAACATGTTTTTAACAGCTGTAAAATTGGCCAATTTAGCATGCAGTCAGTGAACATTTGTATTTCCTGTAGCCAGCCCCCCAAAGCCGAGTTGATGAATTGCAGTTTCAGTTTCTTCCGTATTGGCTTCACAAGGTTGCTGCTTGACTATAGGCTATAACCTGTAAAACAGGATCATAAAAGAACCATTTAAAAGCAGCTCATGTAAACACCTTAATCATATTATTGTCTTATTTAGATTAATGCAAAAAATTCGATTACCAATGTCCATGTAAACATAGTCAATGTAAATGATTTTTTTTTTCAATTATATGTATATCATAAATAATATTGCAGTTTTAATATTGTAAGTGTTAATATCATACTGCAAGTTTCTAAACTTGATACTTCATTATGTATGTTGTTTTCACAGTGATTGTGTTGGAATATGGTTAATGTCCTGTTTATGATTAAGGCTGTGCTAATGAATCCAGCTGTCTGCTCCTGAGCATATTTCCCATCATGCGGAGTCTGCTGTACTGACTCAACTGGGAGAATGTAGATCTGTTTTCTGCCAACAGCTCCTTCCTGTGTGTGTGTGTGAGTCTCTCTCCTCGCTGTAATGGTGTGGGATGTGAAATGATTGACAGCAGTTGGCACAGGTCTTGGCACCTGTGTATGGACAGGTGGCGCAGCGGGAGCGCGAGGTGGCGGCGAGGTTACAGAACAGCGGTGCTGGGAGTGTTGCTAGGCAGCACCGCGTGTCACTGTGATGCCTTTCCATATGGCTGTCTGATTCTTTCAGTGTTTTGTTGAGACACACACACACACACACACACACACACACACACACACACACACACACACACACTGTTCTTTTCGTGTAATGTTACTGAACTCTACCTATGGGTCCACTTTCTCTATCTGTCTCACTCATCGATGTTGTTATCTCAGCCTTTTTTACACAGTGTCATATTTTTGAAGGTTTAAGGTCCAGTCTGGTAGGTCTGTAGGTCACGATCTTACTTGGACTTTAAGACCCCCTATTAGTCCAGATGGCTTCTGTTCCAGTCTTGTCGTGTCCATCAACAGGCTGTAGTCTGATGTTTTCTCAAACCCTCGAGCTTCTGTTTTCGTTCACATGCAGGCAGGGAGACATCTGAAAATGTGTGGGATGAAATGTAGCGAGTTGATTGTTTCACTGATTTAAGATTTGGTATATTATTTAAAAAGTGTATATAGGACTTTAATCATACAAGGTCCCTTGTGTGCTGTTGGGGATGTTTTCATCCACTCTGGGGTGATTTTGAGTCTTAATTTGGCCACAGCTTTCTCTGTTTCTGCAAATATTATGATTTTTGGTGACAAACCTTACTTTAACACCTATTTTGTGTAACCAATCAAACTCAACAATGCTTTGTCAGCAAATTTACAACCCTTTTGTTATGTTAGGGGCTGTTTTTGCCCCATTGACTTCTGTTGTAATGACATTTCCTCTGTGTTTGTGGTTTTCCCTGTTGCGAAGAGGTAAAATTAGCAATTTTTACTGTTGATCAACAGTTGCAGTGCAATAAAAAGCTTATTCTTTGGCTTTCATATGGAGTATAGTGTGTGTGTGAGAGTGTAATACTGCGTTCACACCAGATGAGGATGAAGCGTGAGTGATTTACATGTTATATATAGGCATCCTGTAGCATGAATGATGTGTTTCTCACGAATGGAGTGGCGCGAGTTAAATGTTCTGCGCATTTGATGGTGAAAAATCTTTAGCTGACATTCGTGCCGTGTTAACCAATCAGGAGCTTGTTCTTGTAGGGGAATGATTATGGTGTAGAGCCTGCTGTTGTTGTCCTGAGGAGAAATCCTCTCGCCGTCATCTGATAACAGTTTATCAAACTGGGCTTGGCTCAGTCTAAAGCACCGCTGAAAGCCTCCATCTTCCAGGTATATTTTCTGGAGGAGTTGATGAACTCAGAGCTGGGTGCACCTCTGAAAGGATCTAGTGCAGTCAGACACGGCACTGAACGAATATACGTTGTTTTTCAGCCTTCCTAAAGCACATTTCAATAAAGTCCATGTTAGCCAATTAGCAATGAAGCTAGAGTCACCAAGCCGTCAGAACCCCTGCCCATGACGCGAATCTGCATCTATTGTGAAGTGAATTTGGCACATGACTGAATTGAATTTGATGCGTGAAAGAAGTGAGTGAACTCAAAATGTTCACGTGTCTATTTACGTGCGAATATCATGATTTATTTGCATGTTCCACGTCTGTTGCGGATGAAGCATCAAGCGTGAGTGATTTACTTATTAAGCCAATGCAAAGACACGAATAGACATCCTGCTCCGCAATTCATGCGATTTAGGTGGCACGAATGGCGTGGCACGAGTTAAAAAATGTTAACTTTAGCGGACATTCATGCTGCGTTAACCAATCATGAGCTTTCTCTTGTAGGGGAGTGATTATGAAGTAGTGCCTTATGTTGGTGTCCCGAGAGGAAATCCTCTTGCCAACACCGGACAGCAGCTCATTCAACTGGGCTCAACTTAGTCTGAAGCTCTGCCCATGATATGAATCCAGGTTTATTGTGAAGTGAATTTGAGGCGCCAATGAAGCAAATTTGACGCACAAAAGAACTGAGTAAACTCAGAATGTTCATGCATCTATGTATCCATGAATAGAGCAATTTATTCGCACATACCACGTCTGTTGTGAACAGCATTGAGACATTTGCTCACTTTTCTTGATATGTCTGAGAAAAGCAACTCTCAGAACACAGTAAACATAGCCAGTGTATTTATGCACACACACTATAATCTGCTGTTTTACTCCATAGAACTCTATCGTTTTTGCACAGGCTTATCTAAAGGGTTAATGCTGCCAACTGATGATCAACAGTAAACACTACACATTTGACCCCCTTCCAACAAGGAAAACCACCAACAATCATGATTGCATGATTATATGGTGCCATGGCTTTGCAATCAAAAAATGTCATTATAATGGAAGTCAATGGGGCAGAAACCGCCCCTGATATAACGAAAGGGCAGTAAATTTCAACAGTACACAAGGGTTAAATTAATTGTTACATTTGTTGTTGCAAATTTAACACCACAAAACAGGAAACAATAAAAATCACTAGGCACATTTACAAATTGAAATGACTAAAATAGATAAAAATAAAAGTTTCTCAGGTTGAAATGAGTAGGTGCATGTGGCTTTGTTTTTATATGCCTCTTAACAGTGTGTTCTCTGTGTTTGACAGGACCTGAAGGTCTCGGGTTTAGCATCACGTCCCGAGACGTTCCTCTTGGAGGGTCTGCACCTATTTATGTCAAGAACATTCTGCCAAGAGGAGCTGCCATACAAGACGGCAGACTGAAAGCTGGAGATAGATTGCTAGAGGTGATAACGGAAAAAAAAAACATGTAGCTATAATAATAGTGCTAAATGTGCTTTTATGAATGAATAAACACAACACAGAGAATATATTAACATTTAAAATAGATCTGCAAGATTTTGCATAAATTGAGAATCACGATTATTTGGTCTAATATGAAGATCATGATTCTCCAAGCACTTTGAATAAGCAACTTTAGTAATTTACTGGAAGTATTTTTGGTCAGACTTGATTTTAAGGTGCAGCTCTTACTATTAACCATTAACTATGACTTTTTGCCTCAAACTCCCAATTTGCTGCTTCTTATTGGGTATTGTAGTTGGGTTTTGGTATTATTAGGCATGCAAAATATGTGCTCTATAAGTACTAATAAACAGCCAATATCTTAATAATAAGCATGTAACGAGCCACTAGACTAGGTAAAAGTTAGAATTGGTATTTTAACTAAAGTGTTACCTTTTATATATTTTGAATTAATATTATTTAAAATCTCAATAGTAACTCACTCATAAAGAATAAGCATTTTTAATAATTTCTTGAAGATATTAAATAACAAATACATATTTGATGGTTGTTTGTTGTGATCTATTGATGTAACAGCGTTTGTTTGTTGCATTTGATTGACACCATAGGCAACCGTATTAAATCCTATCGATAAACTGTTTTCCTAGTTACATATAACATATTGTACTGGTTGAAAAGAGGTGTTACTGTACATGGTGACTGATCTCTCGAAGCCAAATGCAGATATGATTTTATAGCTGAGATTATGAAAGGTTTAATAAACACATGCAAATCACAATTATTTAGAATTCAAGATCTTTGAATGAATAATTGTTGTACTTTAGGATAAATTCTAGTTAATTTGAGAATCTCCATGAGTATTGTTTATTTAATGAATTTTGTGGTTGCTGCAGGTAAATGGGGTGGATCTGAATGGGCGGGGCCAGGAGGAGGTGGTCTCTCTGCTAAGGGCGACGCCCATGGGTGGTACTGTCACTCTGGTGGTGCTGAGACAGGAAGAGACCTTTATTCCCAGAGAGATGGTGAGGATCATCTGTGTGTTTGTGTTTGAGTGACAGTCATAAAGAGTGTCGAGTTGTGAAATCCTCTTGCTAATGTCTTCATGAAACTCTTCAACGCTATCACACAGTCTCTGACATTTAGTTCAGGTTCTCTAGACTTATTCCTTTTTTTTTTTTTTTTTTCTACTTGCAGCACACTTGAGTCATGGTTACTGGAGTATTCAATTTTTTTATGACTTTATTGTTTTTTTAAACATTCAGTCACATTGACAGAAAAAATAACAATAAAGGGTACAATATACAAACAATACAAAGAAAGGCAAAATAATAATAGATCAATTTAATATGTAAATAATAAAAAATAATTAATTAAATAAAAAAATAAGGAAGTTTTACCATTTTTACACAGATTATTTTTGCATTTCAATAAAAAAAAAACTGTAAAGAGGACTTTTATTTTGCCATGCTGGATTTGAGTTGACCTTTTAACCACTTTAGTTTTAAATTTTTTTAATACATTTTGTGATCAGCTTTTAATTTGTACATTTTATTGGTTATTAATTTGTAAAACTGTTTAATTGGATAAATTCAGGTAGATTGGGCCATTTTACATTGTCATATTTTTTACTGAATTCACTCTAGGGCTGGGCAATTAAAATCAATATCGGTTATTATTGACCGAACACCATTGTCTATACTGATAATAAAAAGTTTGGTATGAAGTTTTGCTTGTGTTTTGAAAAAGTTTTGAAGTGGCTATAGTTTTACTAAAATGTGGCAGCTGAGCACGCACCTTGATAGCAATGCCAATAAACTTAGGGTGTAACTTTGTCATTTCCAATAGAGGCACGCGACATAGACGCCATAGAAAATGGTGAAGTAAAGCATGTACTCGTGCTTGTCACTTCAGGTCAGAATAACAACACATGCGAAAATAACTGCTGTGGCTAGCAGCAGTGGGGAGGATTGTAAATAAAAAAAGGTTAGTAAGGATCGCCAGAGTGGCTTTTTGGTTCCTTTTCCCTATCTGAAAGAGTTTTTAGCAGAGTGGGTAATACAGCCATACAACTTCACTTCAACTTTATTGTTGCAGTATGTATTTGAATAATGACAGTTAGTTCCTTTATTGAAAGCTCAGATTTGATTATCATAATTTGTTTTGTTTACAGAGTTTCAGGTTTGTTGTATCATTATTATTCACACTTGACCATTGCACAAACTTTAACATTTTATTTATCAAGTTTTAGATTCTATTTAACACTCGTGTTTATTTTATTTTATAGAGATCAGATATTCAGTTTAAATATTTTTATTTTTGACTATTTGCCTTAAAAACTATTTGCCTTAGTAATGTTGGTAGATTAAAATAAAGTGGTTAAATAACAAATATACCTAAATGTATAATAAAAAAAAATATTTAATAATTATCAATATCAAATGATATGAAACATAATATCATGATACTTTTTTTGCAATATCGCCCAGCCCTAATTCACTCTGCATCATAACCTCTTTTTGGGTGATTTTAAGATCCAGCTTTGGTTGCTTTATATGCATGATTTTTAGTTATTTATTTTATTTAATTATTTTTTTTAAATCTTGGGTTTTAAGTTGCATCATCACAACAGTCCTCTTCTTCCTCACTCTCTTTAGAACGCAGAACCAGCAATACAGAACACAAGAGAATGGGTAAGAGCTGCATACACATTTTCAACCATTGCTGAATCTGTACGAAAGAGGCTTTTTCCTGACATAGGAACTGTTAAAAGTGCCATAGAATCCATTAATACAGTATATTGAGTGTTTTATAAACTAATTTCGAGAGGAGTACGTGATATGAATGATTTTAGATGGTCTCTCATCCGCAATTATCGATATACCAATCAGATTAATCCAAGCTTACAATAAATAGCCCATTTCACCTTATTTCCCTCCATCCACCCTATTTCCCCCTTTTTCTCCTTCAGAGGGGGAGCTCTTGAGACCTCCTTGATCTCAGACCCCACTTTTCATGCTAAGTGACCAGGCGGGACCCCTGGGCTCAATTAGTGTTTGTGAGGCCAGCAGGGGGCGCCCAATCTGCGGTCTGTGTGGGTTCTAATGCCCCAGTATAGTCACGGGGACTCTATACTGCTCAGTGAGGGCTTCTTACGGATGAGACGTTAAACCGAGGTCCTGACTCTCTGTGGTCGTTAAAAACCCAGGATATCCTTCGTAAAAGAGTAGGGGTTTCACCCCGGCACCTAGCCAAATTTGCCCACTGGCCTCTGTCCATCCTGGCCTCATAACCATCCCCATATCATCATTGGCTTCATCACTTCATCATCTCTTCTCCATTAATCAACTGGTGTGTGGTGTGCGGTCTGGCGCAAAATGGCTGCTGTCACGTCATCCAGGTGGATGCTGCACACTGCTGGTGGATGAAGAGATTCCCCTCTATGTGTAAAGCACTTTGAGTGCTTAGAAAAGCTCTATATAAATGTAAGGAATTATTATTATTATTAATTATTATTATCTCCTTGAGCTTAAGGTTCTCTCCTGGGACAGCATGCCATTTGTATATTTTCATTACTGAACTCTTATTATTCAGCTATGCCTAGGCATATCCAGATTGTCATTCTTTGGCACATTTAAAGATGCAGTACTAATATATTCTCTTATACAGTATATGAACTTTCTTAAATATAATAATAATAATAATAATAATAATAATAATAATAATAATAATTACTTTCATTTATATAGCGCTTTTCTGGGCAATAAGCTGTAAGCATAAACGCATTTATTTTGGTCCATTCCCAGCAAGTAAGTGTAAATGCTGGCATTTTTAGAGGAAAGGATTGATTCACATTGAATAAAGTGCCACATATTTATGTTTTGCTCTGAAAACGGCAGCATATAAACTATAGATTTATGCTTTTAGCTCAGATGGACGTCCTAAACGATATAAAACAGGGATTGTGCATTAAAAGCTGTCAACTTTATCTGTACACAAATGAACAGCCTGTCTTTATTTACCCAGTGCATCACTTATGTGCCTCCCTATCTATACCTTCTCTCTCTGAGTCAAAGGGCCCTATCATACACCTGGCGCAGTGTTGCGCAAGGCGCGGCGCAATATTCTTTTGGTAGTTTCAGCTTGGCGCAAAAGTTATTTTGAGAAGTTGCGCTACGCTGTTTAAATAGCAAATGCATTAGCGCTCATTTGTGCGCCCATAGGCGTTCTGGTCTAAAAAGGGAGGCGTTCTGAGGTGGACCGCTAGCGTGTTGCTATTTTGAGAAACTATAATAGATTTTTCATTAGACCAAAACTAACGCGGTCTAAACTCCGGTGCAGAGTTGCGCCTCGCTTACGCACTGCTTAATACGCACAAAAGAGCAATAGGCAAATATCTTTACATATGAAAAAATTTAAATATTAAGGATATATATAGGAAATAATAAGAATAGATATAGGATATAAATATAAAGGATTAAAATATTACAAAACATATTATTTTCTAGCCTACATAAATATGAAAAATCACTGCTTTTATGTCTTCATCTCGGGAGGCTTTTTCAGTTCATTCATAACAATTTGCTTTTGTATAATGTTATTATTATTAGCAGTATTATTTATTATATCCATATTTATATTTGTTTTATTAAAAACAAGCTTAGACTTGCCCACCTGTCAGGTTTTAGACCATATGGGGCACAGCATGTGTTTTAGGATATAACTCAGGTTCTTGAGCACACTTCATTATTATTGTTCATTTATTCGTTTGCTGGAAATTAGAACTGAATTTAGAAATAGTTTTGAAACGAATATTTGCGCTTAACAAACAAAAGTATTTATTTATAGACTAATTGATGTCTGTGCATAAAGGTTTCCCTATCCAAGAGCGAATGTGAAAGTAGTTCCATTATCTCTCATTCTCACGCAGTAGATGCTCTGTTTAACAGTTTTCTGTTAAAAAACTGTCAACTGTTAACTGTTTGCTAGTAAAATGCTCATTTTTTCCACTTAGACTTACTTTGCGTCCTGTAAATAGCAAATGCGCTTATGGCGCGACACAGCTGACTCTTAAAGGCAATGGGAGATAAGACTCTAATTGGTTTATTCTCAAAACACACCTATAACTCATTAAGAAAATAAACTCAACCCTTTTAGGCCATGCGCCATGGCGCAAAGCAGGTTTTCCCGTCCTTAAATTAGCAAAAACGTGCTCTGACACGCCCTGAAAGCGTTTGCGCCCTGCGTTTTGCGCTCTGCGCATGGACCGTCAAAACAGAGCCCTAAATGTCTATTTCTTTGTTTCATTAGTAGGTTGGAGTGATCTCCTTAGTACTTCTGATTCGTTATTATAAAATTTTTCATGAGCTTTTGTCTGTGATTTATTTAAAGTATTTGTGCACCTTAAATTCAAATCAGATTTTGCAGAAGACGCAGCTGTTGCCATTCAGAAACACTGTCAGTGTGAAATCCCATTTCGTTTCTCTCTTCTTTTTGTCTGTTTTTCGTTTTCTGTCTCTTCTTCCTCTGTCTGTGCATTAAGCTCTTGAAGCAGATAAGATCTGTTTTAGCAGTTGCTTTCCAGAAAGCTGGAGAGAACTAAATGAAAGCCATCCATTTCCTTCAGAACGTGTGTATGTGTTTGTGTGTGTGTGTGTGTGTCAGAGGTTGTTACATTAAAGTGAAGGTGATTAAAGCTCAATAAAGACAGACTTTATAGAGCAGTCATTCAGTAGATGGTTGTTAAAAGTGTCACATCTCTCCCACACAAACACTCACGCACTGACAGCGCTAACACAAGGGAGTCTGCAGAGGTCAGAAGAGCATCAGGCGTAATGGATTTATTATCTATATGTCTGAATTAGAGGGCAGAGGTTTGGCGGGCATCATTCCTCATGAAGGCTAGCCTTCTGCCTCATTTGCATTGGCTGAATTCGCTTCAGAAGCAGGTGAAAGTGGCAGCTGTGCATGTCAGGGACGTTTTCACGTACAGGAAAGTGACTTGAATGTAAAACTGAGGGTGTCAGGGGTATTTAAAGTCTGTAGCACACTGCAAGACAGAAGCATGTGAGCATATCATGTTTTAAAGGGGTAATTTACTCATAAATGACAATCCATTTCATTCTCTCTCATGTTGATCCAAGCTACAGGTTTTATTTCAACTGTGGAGCACTAAGAGAGGATTTTAAATGGGTGTATTTTTTCAGCGAGCCTTTCTGAGAACTAGTATTTTTAGTGTTTACCCATACTTTTATTAGGTATTATGCACACCGAATTACTTATTTTCCGATGTGCATTTTCCCGAAAAAATAGGCTGTATGTCTGTACAGTATGAATTTTACATGTACTGTATGCGTACGTTAGTTTACAAACAAAAATGTGGTCTTTAGTGGTACCAAACCATTTTAGTGTTTTAAAATGAAAGTATTTGGCTTTTTGTTAATGAACCTGTCTCTCCAGGTGTGCCTTGTTCACCCATTTCCTACGTGTGCTTGTGGACACCAAAATAATAGGCTGTATGTATGCACAGTATGAAATTCAGATGCTCTGTATGCATACTTTAGTTTATAAATAAAAAAGCAAAATATATTCTTAAGTGTTACCAAACCATTTCAGCATCTTAAAATGAAAGTATTTGGCTTTTTGTTAATCAACCTGTCTCTCCAGGTGTGCCTTGTTCACCTATTTCCTTCATGTCCTTGTGGACAGCAAAAAAAATAGGCTGTACTTGATTTATGTGCAGTATGAAATTCACATATACTGTATGCAAACTATACAAATTAAAGGTCAAAATATAATTTTAAGTGGTACCAAACCCTTTTAGTATTTTAAAATGAAAGTATTTGCCTTTTTTAATGATCCTGTCTCTCCAGGTGTGCCTTGTTCACCCATTTCATACGTGTCCTTGTGGACAGCACAAAAATAGGCTGTATGTATGCACAGTATAAAAATTCACATGTGTTGTTTGCATACTTTACAAATAAAATAAAATCAATATTCTTAAGTGATCTTAAGTGTTACCAAAAAATGTTATTATCTTAAAATGAAAGTATTTTTTAATGAACCTCTCTCTCCCCAGGTGTGAATTTAAAAAAAAAATTCAAATTTCGGCATGACATTCACATATACTGCATGCATACTTTGCAAATTAAAAATCTAAATATACTCTTAAGTGGTCTTAAGTGGTACCAATAAATTTTTGTATTTTAACCTGAAAATATTTGTTTTTTCTCTCCAGGTGTGCCTTGTTCATACATTTTGACCTAATTGATCAGTTACTGTTTTTTTTTTTTTTCATTTAATCTATACGGCAATTAATAATTATTATGTATCTCTGACTCTTTGTAGAAGGTAGAAGAGGAGGAATTGGTCTTGACTCCGGATGGTACGCGGGAGTTTCTGACATTAGAAGTGCCTCTGAATGATTCTGGCTCAGCAGGATTAGGAGTCAGTGTCAAGGGTAACAGGTCAAAGGAAAGCCACGCTGACCTGGGCATCTTCGTCAAGTCTATTATCAATGGAGGAGCAGCTTGCAAGGTAGAAAAAATGCATCAGTAATATATACTACCACCTAGGTTTTTTGCTAATTTTTTATGTGTTTTTTTTTATGTTGGCTGCATTTAAATAAAAAATATTGAAAATGTTTTATTGTGAAATTTAAGAATAAAGTTTTTCAGTGTCAGTATTTAATATGTGATTTTAAAGTTGAATTTTCAGCATCATTACACCAGTCACATTATATATACATACAAACATACACGCACATGAGGAAAATTCTATAATAAATATAATAACATTTACTGTAGTTTATTTTAAGACTGCTTTCACACCTGTAGATTGATTGGTTTGTTCCGAAACAGGCATTAAATTTTTTTATTTTTGCTCCTGGTGCGGTTCGCTTTCACAAGCAAAAGTTTCTAAATGGACCAAAATAAATAAAACAAGTCACATGCGAGTAAACTCTCCTCACATCGGTCAGAGTTTCAGGGTTTATTATTCAGAGCCCCACAGATTTTGCTCAGCTGTCATATGACGTTATTTTAATTCATGATGATAAGCAATAAGACATTATAAGCGAAAAGGTGCACTTTAATTTTGACACCCAAAGACATCGTCACCAAATATAAATCAGAGGTAAGACTTTCTCATACATGGCCTAATTTCAGTTGTCAAGTTTTGTAAAAATCTATCTGGATTTAATCTATTTTAAAGAAATGTTGGCTAGAATTATGCATTATGCTTAAATTATAGAAAGAAATAATAGATTAACTGAGAATGCAGTCTGATTATGAAGCAGATCAATGTTGATCTTCCTTTTGAGGTGTCAGAAAGGAACAAAACAATAGGCCTAATACAAAATCTTATAAGACTAAAATATAGAAAAGTTATCAGATGGTCATTTCAGTCAATTTTTCTAACGCATAAACAGCACTCGGTAATGATTTAGCATGGTTTCACTTTCGTATTTAACATGAAACGCACATTTACTGGTAGGAATGACATCCTGTCCTACTTATAATTCTCTCTTCATATAGCCGTATAAATGGCTATTACACAGCCATAATACACTGTGATAAAGCCTGGTTTAGTAGTTTTTGGATTTTTTTGCTTTCTCACTTCAATCAATCCGCTCCAGAGTTTGATTGATTTGGCTCAGATCCGAGCTGGATTCACATATGCCAAACAAACTGCGCTAACTGGGCAAATGAGACAGGTTCTGAAACAAATGTCTAGGTGTGAAAGCACCCTAAATTTGCACTTGTTTATAAATACAGTGAAAAACAATCTTTTGAAATATTAAAAAAACTGTGGTGGAAACTGTGACCCTTTTTCCAGACATTTTTGGTGGATAGAAAGTTTAAAATTACCCTTTTACACCTTATCTTTAGATCTTATGATCAACTTAGGTATTCATTTCGTATAAACAATTTTAGTTTTAGCTTGTTGAATAAAAAAATAATCGAGGAACTATTCAATTGTATATAAATAAGTATTGAACACGTCATAATTTTTCTCCAAAAACATAATTCTAAAGGTGCCGTTGACTTGAAATTTTCACTGAATGTTGATAACAACCAAAGAAATCCAAATATGCTAAGAAAGCAAAACCAATCAGTGAAAAATAAAATGGCAAAGGGCAAAAATTATTGAACACATGTAGAAATGAATGTTTAGAAAGGCAGTGAAAGCCCAGACAGCAGCTGAAATCTCTCAGTAGTTCTTCAGCAACCCAAATTTTTTGGGTTTTTACCAATTGGGTTCAATTCCATGTCAACAGCCCTTTTAAAAATAAAATCTTCCCAGGAAAAAACATGACATGCTCAATAATTATTTCCCCTATTGTAGATGTTCATTCATTCGTTTTGTTTTTGACTTCCCTTTATTAATCTGGTGTTGCCACAGCTGAATGAACCCATACATTCTAATTCACACACATACGCTACGGCCAATTTAGCTTACCCAGTTCACCCATACCACATGTCTTTGGAATTGTGGGGAAAACCAGAGCACCCAGAGGAAACCCACTCTAACGCGAGGAGAACATGCAAACTACACAGAAAAACCACCCGATCAAGCCAAGCCTCGAACCAGTGACCTTCTTGCTGCGAGGCTCTGCACCACCATGTCACCCCACTGTAGATGTTATTAGAAGCATATCTGATATCTATCCATGAGAACGTTTGATATCTCTCTAATCATATATGAATTCTCTTCGCAATCTCGTGTTGTAGGACGGAAGGCTGCGGGTCAACGATCAGCTTATTGCAGTCAATGGGGAGTCGTTATTAGGGAAGACAAACCAGGATGCCATGGAAACGCTGCGCAAGTCCATGTCAACGGAAGGCAACAAGCGAGGGATGATTCAGCTGATCGTGGCGAGACGCATCAACAAGCGCCTCGAGGTAAAGATTCAAGAGTCACGTCTGAGAGCTTCATCTGCATTCATTTCATTGTTTGAATATGCTTCATGCATAAGTTATAATTCATTAGTTCAACTTAAAGGAGACCTATTATGCAAAAATCACTTTTATAAGGGTTTTAAGCTCAGTTGTGTGGCAACAGTGTGTAAATATAAGCAGCTTCTAATGGTAAATTTGAATTGATTCTATTTTTTATAATCACACTTGATAAAAAACTGTCTGCAGAAACACTTTGATTGACATTCTCCCTTTGAACGAGTCATAAGAAAGCTTCACCCATTAGTGGTTATCTCTCCTTAATTAGCATAGACAGCCCTAAGTGAGAGGCAGCCATCCTCCATTAGAGTTTTCACATCATACCTGCTGAAGATCATGTCAGCAACAAAGGCCGCATATACACTGCACTGTTCAAGTGACTCAATTCCGATTTTTATTTATTTATTTTTTTCTCCCATGTGGCACAGATCGGATATGGCCCATGTTACATGTAAGCAGGAACAAATCACATGTATTCCGATTTACTCAAATCAGATTCAGGCCTTGTTCATATGTGGAAATTTATCCGATATGATCTGTGCTTTTGTGTCTTCAGTGCAGAAGCGTAGCACCAAATTCTGGGCCCTGTACCCTCTCAATGTCAGTGGGCCCCCTACACATTTTTTTTTAAATTATTTGAATATAAACATGCACAAATAGTGTTTTAATCTATAATCAAATCAGATTATAATAATGACTGGTTCTTTCATTCACCACCAAGTTGATGCATTTGGCCTACTTGTGCACAAATACCTTTAAACCGTAGGCTACATCGGGTTTGTGTACTGACATTTTGATCCATGATACTGATGCAAGTTTTGATTTAAAAACATTTATTTTTGAACAGGAGAACAGGAGACAACTCTACCCTCAGAAACATTAGCTGGCCTGGCCCATAATTTACTTACAGCAACAAGCAGCCTGGTTGACAAGCTAAGCTAAAGATTTAACATTAGCATACATACAATACATGGCTCGAAATTAACTTTTTTACTTGGTTTACTTGGTTATCAATATATTTTGAAATAAATAATGACATTGACATCAATTGGAGGGGCCAATTAATTCGAAGTAGGCTACAAAAAAAAAAAAAATAATAAAAAAAATGGTGGGATTTCAAAGGGCCCTCTCCCTAGACGGGGCCCTGGGTAGTCAAGTCCACTTTTTCCCCCGCTACCGCGCCCATGCTTAAGTGTATGCAGGTAGATCTGATTTTCACCTGTCAATGCGAGTCTGACGCTTTCTTTTCAGAACAGTCTTCAGCAGAGTCCCAAACCTTAAATCTCAATCACGAGGACTAAAACAGCTTTTATATTGTCATATAGCACAGGTATTTAAGCATGTTAGTGAGAGCGAGAGAGCGCAATGTCCTCCACGCAACCAATATAAACTAATATAAAACTAGTGCATAGCTACATCACGTGCATAAGTCACGCCATGGACATTACATTAAGATGCCTAAAGGTTTGAAAAAAAAACTTTTTATCAAAAGAAGATGGACAAATGAGAACCTTTCTGTCATAAGCTATAGTAAAACAGCTTGTCAAAAGCTGCGAACAGATTACATACGGGAATAGAGAAAAGAGCACTTTTTAATTATCAGCTGTCAGTCAGCGCCCGCTCTTTTTTTTTCACCTGGTCATTGCGCCTTTGCCGTGTGCTGTGCAAATGCAGATGATCGGATACGAGTCTCTTTTATTAGATGATGTAAGCAGGTCATCAAAAAAATTGGATACAGTAACAAAATCAGAATTGACCATTAATATCTGCAGTGTAAATGCAGCCTATGAGGCATTATCAGTTCGGAGTTTTATGTTGCACAAATGAACTAGTGTCTCCCTGGTCTGCCTTCTTCTAAGACACTTTTTTGACACTTTCAGTTTTTTTACAAGGGTAACGTAAGTCCTGTTTTGAATATGCCGCTATGCTGATGCATAGGCGTTTATAGCTCCGCCTGTTTTGAAAAGAATCCACAATCTTAATTGAATTTAAAGCGACAGTGACCAAAACGGTTATGTGATATTTTAAGCTGAAACTTCACATGCATACTCTAGGGACATCAGAGACTTATTTTACATCTTTTGAAAAGTGGCAAAGTAGGTCCCCTTTAAGAATGAAAGTATGCTATTTCTGCGGCAGTCAAAAATGAGCCCAAAATATATAGTAGAATACCCATGGGGGACTTTTGTTTGTATATAAAAAAATCCACATTTTGTTTGGATCAAGATTGGTGGATACCATTATTTCAGGGGTGCAGGGATTGACTTTAAGTATTTGTACTCGGTGATCTAATGGTACTGCCTGTTGCTATTTTAACTCTTAAAATAACATTCTGTTACAATGCCAAATTGTGCTTCTTTTGCTTGTAATTTCAGTGGAAGGAAACAAGAGAAGCATTGTAAGTCCTGTCAGGTGAATAACAGTTAAACACAAGGACCCGGAAAAATGGACAAATACCAGGAATTTACATACCATTTAATAAAAAAATAGTTTGCAGTTTCTTCAGCTTTAACACTCGCACAGACTTCATACAATCTCAAAATTAAACGTACAAAATCTGTCACTGGTGTGGTTTTGTATTGTACAGGTGGACATTTGTAACTTTAAAGTACACGTTTGTACCTTTTAAGGTTCACTTTTGTACACATTTGTAGTTTTTAAGTATTAATAAGGACCTTTAAAAAGGTACCGCCTCAGTGACTGATTATGTACCTTTATTTCTGAGTGTTGGACACTCTACTTACAGTCTCAAAGCAACAATAAGACTACTCTAACTGAAGGCCAATCCGCTGCGTAAAAACATGCTGTATAAGTTGGCGGTTCATTCCGCTGTGGCAACCCCGGATTAATAAAGGAAAGAAAAGAAAATGAATGTATGAATGAATAAAGCCACTCACTGCATCACATATCTTAGGTAGAACGATTCTTGTTGGTCGAAACTTAGACATTCTCAACACACACTCACTGACCACCTTATTAGGTACACCTTACTTGTACCAGGTTGGACCCCCTTTTTCCTTCAGAACTTGCTTAATCCTTTGTGGTATAGGTTCAACAATGTACTGGAAATATTCCTCAGAGATTTTGGTCCATCGGTTGTATTGAGTGAGTTACTGTTCCCTCTCTATCAGCTCAAACCAGTAGATCTGCAGTTTCTGAAATACTCAGACCAGCCCATCTGACACCAACAGCAATGCCACAATCAAAGTCACTTAAATCATCTTTCTTAACCATTCTGATGCTCAGTTTGAACTGCGGCAGATCGTCTTGACCATGTCCATGCATAAATGCATTGAGTTGCTGCCTTATGATTGGACAATTAGAAACTTGCGTTTACAAGCAGTTGGACAGGTGTACCTAATAAAGTGTGAGTGTATGTGCTTATAATTCAGAGCAAAATCTCCAATGAATAACTAGGCAACGAAATGTATAGGTAAAGAGACTATTTCTTTCCTAATTGAGACCAGAGATGTGAGATTCAGCTTCAGTTTTCTAATCTCCTCTAAATGAAGAACACACACACATACATTTACAAAGAATGCTTATCTACTTCAAGGATGTCTTGCTTTCTTGCAGACATCTTATCAGAATAGTAAAATAAAACATGCTCTACTACAGCAGACTAATACTGTGAGACTCTTACAATGAAATCTTTAAAAAAAATATCTGTTTAATAAAAAGTAAAATCAACAATGCAACAACTGTTAGGTCTGCTCCTAATGACCTCTTGACCTGTATTGATGATCATAAAAACTGGAATACTCAGCATACAGAATAACACAGCAGACAAAGAGCATTCCATTCCAGTTTTAGACGAGTATTATTGAGTTATGTAATGATTAAAGGGATTGTTCAGCCAAAAATGAAAAAATATTCACTACTCACACTCAAGTGCTTCCAAACTTTTATGATTTTCTTTCTTCTGTCCAACACTAATGGAGATATTTTGAAGAAAGCTGACAAGATGAAACCATTGACTTCCATCGTATGAATTATCTAAGTCAATGGTTGCATATTTCCAACATTTTTCAAAGTACATAGTAACACATTAGAATAATGGTCCATTAATTAATGTTAGTTAATGTATTTGCCAACATTTACTTAGTATGAATAATCATGTAAAGCACTAGTTAATCTTAGTTCAACATTAACAAATGGCGAGTTCAGACTGCAGGATTTTCAAAGTAGCCCTGTCACAGATGTTTTCACACTCCATGACTTTCTGGGTTAGTGTTTTGTCGCTGCTTTGTTTACACTGCAAGATATATGGCGACAGGGGCTTTCACATTGCATGACTTTACAATGGGAAGAATTGCCGACAACTTAGTCCAAACTACGTCTCACAACCAAAAACATGTAGTATATATTTTGTTATTAACTACATAACGAGAAAGAAGCCTTTAATAGTGTAGAAAATGCACATATTTGCTCACCTGGGTTTGAAGGGAATTAACAATTTCTCCTCAATTTTCTTTTTTGACCCTGTTGTGGTATTGCTCACATGACACGTTAAACAGACACGGGTGCTCCTGACAAATTTACAAATTTCCTCCATTTCTTGAGTTGAAATAAACTGAAAAGGAGCTTTTAACTTCTCCACCAGCCTCCTGCTGGCCTGCAGGTACACACACACACACACACACACACACACACACACATTAGTCTAGTGAATGCTGCTCTCTCATTGGCTTTAGGCGATCGCTGATGTTATTTTCAGTCAAAACTCATTTCACACGGCATGATTTGAATCGTCGACAGCTCCAGATATTTAGCATGCCAAAATTTTTACAGGCATCGGCGATTATCTCGGATCGCGTTTTTGATTGTTCACATTGTGTGATTGTCACTCACAAGAACAAGAACCGATTTGTCTGTGATTTCAGGCATTTGGCGAGTCAAAATCGGGGCTAAAATCATGCAGTCTGAACTCAGCGTAATGCGTTATTAAAATCCGATGTTGCGCTCGTTAGCATTAGTTTATGCACCATGAGTTGACATGAACTAATGTTATTTAACTTAATTAACATTAACTAACATTAACAAAGATGAAGAAGTACCCAAATAAATTTAATAATAGTAATAGTTTGTTCATCATATTAGTAAATACATTAACTAAGGGACCATTATTTTAAAGTGTTAATGATTTCTATTATTTAAGATTTGAAACAAGTAACTTTAACTTCATTTTCAAATCAAAAATAAACACTGATTCAATCATTAATAATAATAAAACCATAACAACGGATATGTATCAATCCATTCTGCAGCGGAAAGTCATCAGAAAATCCACCTCTTCAAGTCTGAAGAGGAAAAAAGTAATGGAAGATGCTTGGGGATAAATAAAACTTCCCAAAGACTCGCACCTTTTGTTATTTTCACTTTAGCCCTGATGCCGTTGAGGCTTTTAGTAAACCACAGCTACTGAAAGAGCTTACAGGTGCAGATGGATATAAGCTTTGGCTTAAATCTAACGCAGTACAATCGATTTATTTTTTTCATCCACAAAGAGTCTAAATGCTCCCGGATATCAAGAGAAATCCTCATTGAAAAACACCAATGGCATAAAAAGATAGATGTCATCCTGGCAGAATATAAACATGTTGATGCTTATCACGACTGCACTGCCACTGAAGGAGAAACTGTAAGCTTATTCGTGGACAGACTTGAATATATTTCGATTCAGTCAGGAATTGTGCAGTGCTCTCCAGTTGTGATTGATGCAACAATGTTGATAGATGTTGACAAGCATTGACATGTTTGGTGTGTGTAACATGTCTTATTTTTTCAATGCCAGTTTTCACTTGTATCTTGGGGGCGTTTGGACTCCTTGTAGGGAAAAAATTGTCAGTAGCGAAGAGCGTCATCGCTTTTTTTAAGGAGGGTTGCTCTTTTACATTAAAAAACAGCTAAAAGTTGCATAATTTGGCGTTGTGTCACGATTTTAATGTTCTTAGTTGTATTGCCTTAGTAATAGCAAAATATATTGCCACCATTTAACACCATGCAGTGCATACAGTTTAAAATAACATTGAATTAAAAATCAAACATCTTTGAGCTTTATACATATTTCATGTTATAATGATTGATTGTTTTAACTTTATTATTATTATTATTATTGTTATTATTATTATTAATTTGTTCATGCAACACACATCACATAAAATACAGCTTTAATTATTGGCATGGAAACGTGTTCAGGTCAGGACCAAACGTGTGGATTTTAATGCGGGTCAGACAAGGCATGTTATAAGAAATTCCTATTTTGTGGCAAAACACTGAAGTTTGTGAGCCTGCCACAGACACGCCCTTCGATGAAAACTCTAGATCTTTGCAATTTACCATCGGCAAGGGCTTTAGATTACAATACCCAATTTTGGTGTTGATCTAATAAAATCCCAAGGAGGAGTTCGTTAAAAGACAACGCATGAAAATGGGAAAAAACTGCACTTTTTCGGCTGAGGAAATATCTGACTTCCTGTTGCATTTGAGATTTTACTCCAAGAGACTTTTTTTGTAGGTATTGGCATGTTTAATGTGTGTGCCAATTTTCGTACATGTGCGTGAATTGTAGCTCAGGGGCCACTCGGTCAAATGTGCATAGGTGGCACTGTTGAGTGATTTTGCCACACTCACTTCCAAAACCTATAACAAACGTAAATTTTCGCCACTTCTGGTGCGTTCTTTTACATATTTCAGTAACAGACATCATTTATGTTATAATGATTGATTGATTTAATTTTATTAATTCCGTAGTGAAATTAATTTGTCCATGCGGCACATATCACATAAAATACAGTTTTAAATATTGGCATGGAAATCTGTTCAGGTCAGGACCAAACGTGTGGATTTTAAGGCAGATCTGACAATGCATGTTATAACAACTTCCTATTTTGTGGCGAAACATCAAATTTTGTGGGGCCGCCACAGACACGCCCTTCGACAAATACTCTAGATCTTGACAATTTAACATGGCCAAGGCCTTTAGATAGGAATATCCAGTTTTGGTGTTGATCTGATAAAATTCCTAGGGGAAGTTCATTAAAATACAACGCCTGGAAATGGGAAAAAAAAACGGCACTTTTTCGGCTGAGGAAATAGCTGGCTTCCTGTTGCATTTAAGATATTGCTCCAAGAGACTTTTTTGTAGGTATTGGCATGTTTAATGTGTGTGCCAATTTTCGTACATGTGCGTGAAACGTTGCTCGAGGGCCACTCTGTCAAAAGTGTATAGGTGGCGCTGTCGAGTCATTTTTCCACACTCACTTCCAAAACCTACAACAAACGTAAATTTGATTAAACTTCTGGTGCGTTCTTTTACATCTTTCAGTAACAGACATCATTTATGTGATAATGATTTATTGAATTAACCTTAACTCTGGGACCCAGTACCGGATCTGTGATGTCATTTACTTTCGCATTGCTTAAATCAGCGGTTCTCAAACTTTTTTCATCAAGTACCACCTCAGAAAAAAATTGTCTCTCCAAGTACCACCAAAATGAGCAGTATTGAAATACATAAGCGTAGGCCCAGTAAAGCAGCTACAACTCCTCACAGTTAAAAAACGTGGCAGATTACCTTAGAAATATAGTCTATATGTCATATATGACATAATATATACATCATTGTTAATAAATTTTTAAATGAATGTAGCATGTACATGACATACTTAATTTCTCCGCGTACCAGTAGAAGGAAGCCTGCGTACCACTAGTGGTGCACGTACCACAGTTTGAGAACCACTGGTTTAAATTGTAACCCAATACCCCCATAAGTGGTTCTGTTCTCTTATCAGATGAAATACAATAACTTTTGCATCAATTATGATAGAGATATTTTTTTTTCCTATGATTAATGACATGAGCAGGAACCACCAAAATTAGATACAGCAAGACCACACAGAACCTAAAAGGTACACTTTCAAATTTGAGTTTACAAAAAACAAAGCGCCTCTTTTTTGGAGGGGTTTATTATAAAATAGACCACATATACAATTATTAAAACCACTTTCATCAGTGTTTTATGAAAATTCAAGGGTTTTCATGTTTGCATGTGAATTTGGCAAGTTTTTAAATTTGGTTAGGCAAAATCCAGATGAAAACCCCATAATAGCACGTTACTTTAAGAGGTTAACTTTATTAATCCCATAGGGAAAATAATTTATCCATGCGGCACACATCACACATAATTTCTGGAAGCTACATAAATGTCTAATAGCTTGTTATATAGACATTTTAGTCATACAACTCTTAATACCATGGGTTCATTTTAAGCCAGTTTGCTAATTATACCAGGTTTAATCTGTCCTTTCATCCTGACCAGTTGAAATGTGTTCAGAGGCTCCATAAAATGTCTATTTTTGGGATGAAGAGAAAAGAGACACAATTTTAGCACAACCCTGTATCAGCACACACACTCTTAATGTCATTTGTGTGGCTGTTTTCTTTGGTTCTCTCTCCAGAGAAAGTCTGATCCGTTTAAATTCCAGGCACTCAGGACACTGCATTTCACAAGAGTCTCCTAGAAGGGTTTTGAAGAGAGAAATTATGCTGTTCTAGGTTTTTTGGACTGTTGTAATGTAAGGTTTTAAAGTGCGGACAGTGGTGATTGTCAACACCAGTTGTCTTAGTGAGAGCAGAATCATAAATGTACAAGATGTTCCCATCATGCTGTGCACTCATAGAAATACTCATCGTAAGAATCCAGGAGAGTCGGTTATTACAAGACTTTTGAACTCAAGAATTTACATTGTAATCGATGATAATGAAGTTAACTTACATGGTTCCTCAATCAATACATGGTTAAAGGAACAAGTTTTGAGGGGGGATTTTACAACATTTTTAGAGATTATACAAGTTCCCTAGAGGTAAAAGGTTGAGTTTTAAAATGTTTGACCATTCAGTTGATCTCCGGCTCTGACAGGACAACTTTTAGCTTAGCTTAGCATAAATCATTCAATTGGATTAGACCATAAGCATCTCTGTCAAAAAGAGTTGTAATATTTTTTTCTATTTAAAGCCAATTACACCATGTACAAAAAACTGACAGAAAGTGAAAAGCTGCTTTCTTCTAGGCCGATATGGTTAGGACCAATATTTTCAATCTGGTGTAATTATCAGGGAACTTTTCTACAGCAGGCGCAATGATATGATGCTGTGCTGTTACTTAGATACCAAGCTGGGGACTATTTGTAGGACCCGTGTAATTTCATTATTAAATAGAAACTTTTTATTTTCAGTCTTAGTATATGATGTATCTACAAAAATGTTGAGCTTGAAATAGGAAAATTATCAAAATTGTTTTTTTTTTTTTGAATGTTTGAGCGAGATGCTAATGGTCTAATCTGATTCAATTATCTATGCTAATCTAATCTTAATGTCAGCTCCCGCCAGGACCAGAGATTCAAAATGGATTCAAAAAGGTTAAAACTGAACTGTTTAAGTCTAGGGGAGTTGTAAATTGTGTCAATTTCCAAAAACAAAAAAGTGGCCTGACTGCTCTTTTACCACAACACAAACCACAGCAGCATATCTGAGCAGAAAAATGTGTGCTATACAGTAGGATGTGTGTTTGTTCCTCATGTTCCTCTGTGTGTTTTCTGTCAGGGTGAGAGCCGCGGCAGTCCTCGAGGGTTAGAGCGAACACTGAGCCCGTCTCCTGATGACCATGAGCGGCGAATTTCACACTCACTGTATGGGATCGAGGGCCTTGATGACAACCTGAGGCCACAAGCCAGCACAAATAACCGCAAAATGAGTGAGTGACATTGGCAATAACACACTGAACGCTGTACATGTGTCATTTCTCTGCCAGCTTAAACTGGTTTTCTGCTCTAAAAAAAGTGTTATTTTATTTTTTTTTTACTTTAAATTTACAGTGTTTTAGTGCAGTTTAGTTTTAATCATTTCAATAAAACTTTTCGAGTATTTTCTTTTCTTATCTTTGTATTTTAGTATTATGTATTTATGTATGTATGTATGTATGTATGTATGTATGTATGTATGCATGTATGTTTGACATATATTATACACACAACATTTGATTTTTTCCCTAGATGTTGATAACAACCAAAGAAATCCATATATGTATAATAATGTTTATGTATGTGGCATTCACTGTTTTTGGGAATAGATTTTCCAAATGCCCAAATTCTTTCAGTTATTCAGCAAAAGAATCAGCATTCTTCAGCAACACATCAACATTTTTCTTAGAAAACATATTTCTAAACGTGTTAAAAAGTTTTCTTCAGATGTTGACAGCAACTAAAGAAATCCATATACTGTATGTGTAATAAAATGAAATGACATAGGAAAAAATATTGAACACCTGAAGAGAGTGAGGTGTAGAAAGGCAGTAAAAGCCCAGACAGCAGCTGAAATCTATCAGTAGTTTTTCAGCAGCCCTTTGTCATTGTAAATTCATATTAGCTGCTTCAGTCCAACATCTACATTAGCAGGATGATGAAGATTAAACCAAAGTGGACATTTCAGCAAGACAATGATCCCAAATACAGCCAAGAAAACTCTCAATTGCTTTTAGAGAAAGAAAATGAAGCTGTAGAATGGTCCACCCAATCACCTGACTTGAATCCAATAGCAAATAAAAAATAAAGATCAGATTTGATAGACGAGACCCACAGAACCATTAGGATTTTCACACTCTGTTGAAGTCTGTGAAATAAATCTAAAAATACAAATTAATAAAACATACTTTATTAAAAAAAGAGTAATAAAAATCATAGAAAATACAACCTGACTCACTAAAACTTTTATTAAAAATGGAAACTGAACAAATAAATAATTCTCAATATTTTAAAAGTGATATAATAACTGCTTTATAGTTATATAGTTAAAAACAATCTAATTAAATATATTAATAAAGAATATTTGCATTAATATTTAATATGATAATAATAATAACAACAAACTTTGTCTCTGTGTAATTTTAGTTGTTTTTCATTTAGTGTCATTTAAAACCACAAATTTATTAAAGCAAGTTAATTAAAAAATTATTAAATGACATAACAAATCAACAGAAAAAAATACAACCAGACTTACTAAAACTTTCATTTAAAAATGAAGATAGAACAGGTAAATAATAATGACTCATTTTAAAAATTATATACATGGTTAACTGCTATATACTTACAAACAACAAGTTCAATATTTTAATGAATATATAATATAATATTGTTAATAACAATTAACTTTAAGTGTGTGTTTGTGTTTATGTATGTGGCATTCGTTGCTTTTGGGAATGGTTTTTTTCTTCAGGGAAGTAAGTATTTGCATTAATTTGCATGTCAACTCTCTCCAGATGCTTTCAGTTATTCAGCCAAAGAATCAGCATCTCTGGGCTTCAGTGTGTAAGAGACATGCGCTCTAACAGAAAACACATGAGTGTTGCTCTGGACAGACAGATGCAGATCTATAGAGGTTTACTGAGAAAGAGCTCTCTGTGTGTCCCAGCCGGAGCTGTTATCCCGCCTGTCAACAACTCAATCCACTCATGGGCACTGACAGTAGCAGGGTACCACACACAAACAGACTCGCAGCATATGCTTTTCCATTTACCCAATATATGCAGAGGCATGCTCATACCAAACCATCCATTTACACACACACAGACAGGCTTTCACAAGCACTCTCTGATCAGAGAGCCACTGTGTTTGTCCATATAAAGAACTGTTTTCAAACACACTCCAGCAGATGTGTGTTTCTGTAACGGGGCCGATGGTGTTTTGTGTGCTAATGGGGTTGTTGGGTTTTGCATTAATCTGCATTGGTCTTAAATAGTTTTTGTTGGCGTTTATTTGTGATTTGTGCGGTAGAGAGATGCTGAGTGCAGTTCTGTGTGTGTTTTCCGTTGAGGAATTGAATTTTATGCTAATTTTTTAATCGTTGAAGAGATTTGCGATTGACAAGTTATTAATCAGTGGTAAATTGCAGCTGTCTTGAGGTTTTCTGGATATATGATTTATAGTTATGTTTTAGCTAAATGTTATTTTTTATTCTGCAGACTACTGTTGACATTTCTTCCAAAATTAAAATAATTGTTGTCATTAATTTTTTTTTAAATTAAAATAACCATGTGCCATGGTTACCTATACATTCATTGTTAGGCAACACAAAGTTTTACTTAATAAGATGAAGTAAAAAAAATAAAATATATTTGTTATTTTGACCAATTTTCATTTGCTCAATCTTTTTTATGTAAAATTTAGAAGAAGAAAAAATAAGGGGGGGGGTGATATACCTTTATCTCAATATAAATAGGTTTAATCACAAACTTAAATTCAACCAGTTGCAATGATATATAGTTGCATATATATAGTCATGTGAAAAAATTAGGACAACCTATGAAAGCCTGAGGGTCTCCTAACTTTAAATAAAGTAAAAAACAAACGTACAAAATATCTATGCTTTCATAGGCTGTCCTAATTTTTTCACATGTCTGTATATACACGTACATGCATCTTCTCATATCTTTATACAACAGTTCTGTCTGATACTTGAAGCTGATTGGCTGATAGCCGTGCAATATTCTGCAAATAACAGCACTCGTCCAGCCCCTTCACCCTTGTGTATTACTCCGCCCACATACAGCAACAAACAGAGGACACTCTACAATATGACAGATATTGGAGCTGTTGGATGACATAATGCACTTTTGATTTGTTTTTTTTAGTCGAAAATGTAGTTGCTAAGAGTGCAACTATGCAGTTATTTATAAGGATAGTGTCTATTTTAAATATTTATAATTTCTGAGAGTGTTTAAAAACTTTAATTAGAGCTACAAATGTTCTTCAGTCAAGAACAGTGAGTGATTTTCTCCTTTTTTGTTTGATTAATGATAAAAACAGACAGCAGGAATATTGCGCGCTGTCGCTTTAAGAGCAGTACAGTTCTGTTTATAGTTTCCTTTGATTCTCAACTCGTTGGTTTATCACATAAATGATGGTTAATATGAATAATCACTAAACACCACCTTTTGACACAAATTTACATGTATTTGACTATTAAATCGCTTGCATTAAGATGACTTTAGATGTGTGTGTGCTCTGCTCATCTCTTATGCTGAGCGAACACACACAACAGCATGCAATCTCTTTCGCACTTTTAAAAACATGAATGATTCGAATGTACATCATTGAATGATGCACATCCCGTGAAGCAAAAGTTACATTACAGTACACACTCTTAGTAATTTTCATGTAAAACAGAGCTGTGCAGAGCAACAAATCTGTGCAACTGGAAAGGGGCGTTATATGATGCAATAATCATTTTTTATCGATCAATGTTTTCATAATAATTTTTTTTTTTTTGTCTGACTTTTTTTTGCTTTATAATTCTTATTATAAAAATGAATGCAAAAAATACTACTAGACCAAAAGCACTCAAGTTGTCAACAGACACTTTTGAGTCTTGAGCACTATTGTGGAAGTATAAGTTTGGCCTGGTGCTGGCTAATGCCAAGGTCATAAGTTTGATTCCCAGGAAAGCCACATCTGATCAACACATAGCTGAAATACAGCTTTAGGTGCTGATAACAATGTTGTGAATGCAGTATTTTTCCAAAATAAGATACTCAAGAACCATTAGCATGCTAAACAGTGTTTAAAAAAACATTAATTTGGTTCCAGTATTTCTTTAAACAGCGGTTTGTTCCCAACTGTAGAGAAGTTTGTGATCATTTACATCCCACACGGTTTCACTTATCATAGTATGTACTGAAAAAACAAAGTGTTTCTCATGGACTTTATTTTAGACGAGGGTGGGAAATCTCTCAACAGAGTAAAAACACAAGCAAGCTAATGGCACTATTTTGGATTCTTATATGCATGCCTTATCAGTGTTTAGTGGAAAAGGGGTGAACAATTTCGAACAAGCTAATATAAAAATTGCATCCAGACTGCATGGGAATAAAGTCAGAAGTAAGACTCCTACTTGTCCTTCATTTCTGATTCGCTCTATGTTCAGGGTCTGACACAAACGATTCACAGTTGCTCTTGACTCTCAATGCCTTTGGCCTGCTTTGCTCAAAACAAGGTTGTTTTGCCACTGTCTTTGTTTTTACCATCTGTACATCATGAAACCCCTTCTCCAATCAAGACGTATTACTTGATTACTTTATAATAATAACACAATTTGGTCTCCCCCACACCCTTTCCTGCTCTTATCTGTCCTCAGATCATTATCAGCTCTCGCCGACGGTGAACATGCCTCAGGACGACACGGTCATTATTGAAGATGACAGACCACACGTTCTCCCCATCCAGCTGTCTGACCAATCCTCGTCCAGTTCTCATGATGACATGGGTTTCGCTGTGGAGACACCCCCGCCGCCACCCTGGGAACCAGAGCTTCCCGACAGGTGAATAAGACTGTACAGTTTAGAAAGTCTTGGGATTTATTTATTGAAGTGGCTATTGTCTTTGTTTCTATTTTGAGCATCAACTCTTAGACTCTTCTGACGATCTTCCTGCAGTAATTGAGTCCATGGCCTTTCCTTTGTTTGTTAAAGGAGCTTCGGTTATTAGAACAGGGCCAAGGGCTGGACACTGTGCTGTGATTTAATCTCTCTCTCTCTCTCTCCCTCCGCAGCTCTTCCAGTGCTAATGCTGAGGGGCAGTTTCAGAGGGAAGGCTTTGGCAGGCAGAGCATGTCTGAGAAACGCACTAAGCAGTATGGAGATGCAGGCCAACTCGACATCATCAAGACCCGCAAGTCCAAGAGCATGGACCTAGGTACTCTAATGATCAGCCCTGAGACATGTTGCCTGGTCTCAGATCTTCTAAAAATTAACCTGAAGTTCATCTGTTGAAGTTAGACACTCTAACAATCAACTTGAAACAGTGCTAGGTGCTTAACACTTTAAAAATCAACTTCCATTGCAGTGATTAGACTTATGTGCTCTACAGATTATTCCCAAACACAATTTTTGGTCCTTAATATTCTAAAGCAGGGGTCACCAATCTTGGTCCTGGAACACCCATGTCCCTGCAGAGCTCAGCTCTAACTTCCCTTAATCCTTTTTTAAATTGTTCAGATGTGTTTGATTAGAGTTGGAACTAACCTCTGCAGGACACCTGCTCTCCAGGCTTGGCGACCCCTGGTCTAAAGACTAAGCAAAAAATTAATAGTAATTGGGCCTAAATACTGTAACCTAGATACTCTACAGCAGCTGTGCCTAATCCTGTTCCTGGAGATCTACCTTCCTGAAAAGCTGCAACTTTGATAAAATGCACATGTCTTTAATGACCAAGTGCTTCTTTATGGCTCGTTTCCACTGACTGGTACAGTTTGGTACGGTTCGGGTCGGTACGGGTCACCTTTATCAGGCTTGCGTTTCCACTGCCAAGGGTACCCTTTTGGTGGGCGTGGTGTATGACAAAGTTTCAGTCGACGTCATTTTCGCTCGAGAAAATGTCTACAATAAAGCTGCACAGGTCGCTCTCATATCATATGAAAAGCACTTCTCACAAAATAGATGCTTTATACACATAAATACTTGTTGTGTATAAATGTTTATTACTAACTTTTCTATAAACAGGAGTTGTTTATAACTGCAGATCAATGACGGTGCGAAATAGCCTGCTGTAACGTCTGTAATTATATTAAATAAATAAATAAATGAACATATATGAACACATACAGACCCTTACAGTCTCCGATATGTTACCAACTACAGAAGAACTACACAAAGCAGACATTTCGTCGTTAATTAGGTTCAAAACAACACAAAGTATAGCCTACAGTCAGAGTAAACATCTCATCTGTGTCTGTAATCTTCAGCAGCACACGAAGCCTCTGTTAGAGAGTCATTCCATCATTCCCAGTTCATATTAGTCCAAAAGGTGATAATAAAGATTAAAACAAGGCAGTTTGTTCACGTTTGTTGAAGAAATAACGTGCTCCTTGGCTTCGCCTTTTTTCCACGCCCCACTCTCGCGTTTGTCCTTTTCTTTCTGAATGTGTCACTCTCGTTTGTCAGCTTCTCACAGGATCGGGTTTCCAAAAGCTTGTCAATAATCAAGTGCATGTTATTATCATCAGCTCAAGAAGTTTGTTATGTTAGATAGAGACGCGCTTATTGTTCTGGCTTGTTGCGTCTACGAATGATGAATCTCTGTAAACCAATAGCGTTCAGCTGCGCGTGTAGCCCCACCTTTTGGGACCCTTTCTGCAGTTTGGGACCCTTTCGAAAGGGTCCCGAAAAAGTGGTACGGTACAGATTGGTTCGGTACGTCTTTTGACAGTGGAAACGGCCATAAAAGTGTACCAAACTGAACCGTACCGTTCTGTATCACTCAGTGGAAACGGGCCATTAGATCCTACTTTGTTGGTTTAGTTGTTTTTGATAAGGGTTGGAGTGGAACTTTCTAGGAAGGTAGAACTCCAGGAGCAGTATTGGGCACCCCTGCTTTACAGCCCTGTCCCAAACCTATTTTTTTGGCCTAAATACCCCAAGAGGCCAATCTTAAAAATAGGGTGTGGACCCATAAACTTTTAAGATTGACTCAAGGCAATTTACTTGGACTTGGATAATCTAAAGATCTGTGCCAAGCACATTACCTGTACTTGAATACTTTAAAATGTACTTAAACTTGAAATCCCAAAAACAGTGATTGGACCAAAATACTCAAAAGCTTAATTTCAAACATTTTTCGGACCTAAATAATCTACAGCTTTGTCTCAACCCTAATATTTTAGCCTAAATACCGTAGAGCAGGGATGCTCAATCTTGTTCCTGGAGATCTACCTTCCTGCAGATTTCAGTTGCTACCCTTATCAAACACACCTGAACCAATTAATTAGGACCTGAACACCACTTGATAATTACAGGCAGGTGTGTTTGATATGGGTAGCAACTGAAATCTGCAGGAAGGTAGATCTCCAGGAACAGGATTGAGCACCCCTGCCCTAGAGGCTAACCTCAAAAACTGTTAACCTAAATACTCAAAAGCAGTGCTTTGGCCAAAATACTCAAATCTGAGACATGTAATTTGAACCTAAATACTCAAAATCTCTATCTTAAAAGTAGACAAAACCTAGGGTTATTTGGACTTAAATATTCAAAAACTGTTCCTGGACCAAAATACACAAAAGCTAAATCTGAAACACAATTATTTGAACCAAGGTATTCTACAGCAGTTTATTCAGTTAGTTTGTCATCGGAGGCCAGTTCATGAAAAGCATCCCAAATGAGATGACTTGCATAAGCGATAACACAACAGCATATAAGAGCCCAAATGCTGTATTTTTGCACCTTAAGACACCCACGTTGGCTTTTTGTACATTAAAATGTTAATATGTTGTATTTTGAAACTACATAACATCACTGCATTGTATACAATGTGGCTTTTTTTATAAACGTATTCAAATGTTGTATTTCAAAGCACAATAAAATCAGTGTATTGCTCAAGTAGGCTTCTTCTACATTCAGACACATTTATATGCTATGTTTTTAACTGTTAGGGATGCAACGATTATAGATTTTGGTTGTACGATTATAGTCTGAAGAATAATCATGGTTTCACGGTTATGATGATTATTGTACATTTATTAAATTCGAAACACTACTAGTTCTGAAAATCACAAGAAAACTGCTTATATTTTAAAGTATTGTTTATTGCTGCTCAGTAGCCAAATACAGCACAAAATATGAATAAAAACAAACCAATAGTCCATTTCTGTCTTAAGACTTAAAAAAAATAAATCAAAAAGTTTTTAATTTAAACACGAGTGATCATTTTACAATGAAAATAAATGACAGAACAATGAATAAATAAGAATAAATAAAACATAGTATTTGTCTAATGATAATTTAAGCTATATATTAGCTAAGAATTTAAATGAACTGTTATTATCTGCGTTTATACATACATAATCATTTGTAATCATTTGTCTAACGTATCTTTTGTTTACTTTGCACTGTAAGCCAAGTACAACTCTCTTTGCTACAGCGTGAGATAATTTCTACTGTGTGCATCTTGAGGGCGCATGTGTGTCAGTCCACTCTACGAGCCGTATGCGCACCGCTCCCAATATGGGCACGTCTCCATTGGAAATTATGAATTTGCACGCGGAAAAGAAGCAATATGTGAACAGCCTGCTGCTATAGCTAATCCAATGTGCGTGCTTATTAGGCTTGGTATGAGCTCGAAAATTTAAACTAGTTTATAGATGGCATAACTTTGTTTAGTTGCAGCAGTTTTGTTTCGTGCAACAGAAACGCGGCGTTAAGAAGCCTTCACGATGAATTAACCCTAGTGAATTAAAGTACGGTTAATATTGAAATTGGCTAATTATTGCATCCCTATTAACAATATTATTTACGAAAGTTCTTTTCTACAAACATATCCAAAAGTTTTCGGCTGCCCGCATCATTTCAGGTGACTCAGCTCAGTGCAGCCTTCAACTGCAGCTTGTGCTGTATTGAACAGACACACATCACTTCATAACTATAGTGATTTAGAAATTTATTTTTGATGTCCTTGTCACATTATTTGGAGGGCTGGTACAAATTGCCGTAGGGGCTGGGTTCGGCCCGCGGGCCGCTAATTGAATAGCCCTGCTCTACAGCTTAGTCTCAAACCTACCAAAATACCCTAGAGGCCAATCTCAAAAACTGTGTGGACCTTAATACTCCAAAGATTGATTTAAAGCAAATTACTTAGACCTTGAGACTGTATTTAGGTTCAAGTAATGTATTTGATATAAAGCTTTGCAGTAAAGCTTTATAAAAAACACATTACTCAAACCTAAATACTCTAAATGATGTTACTCAAAAATGAGTGATTGGTCCAAGAAACTAGACCCAAGCAAAATAATAATTTCTGCCTAAATACAAAACTCTGGGACATTATTTGAAACAAATACTTAAACATAGTGAGCAGACCTAAAGAAATGTTATTTAGACCTAAATACTCAAAAATACCACTTGAACTCAAAAGCTAAATCTCAAATGCATTATTTGGACCTAAATACTCAAAGCTCTATCCCAAACATAATAAGCGGATATAAATACTGCAAAGGTCAATCCCAAACACCGTGCTTGGACATAGATACTCTAAAGGTCATTTCCAGTAGATAAATTCCCACCCTGAAACCAAATCCATTGCTCAAGTTACTTTCCTCCTCTCTTTATAAGAGCACTTCTCAGAATGCCTCTCATTCTGGGCATCACCATTCACCACTCCACCGTCACTAAGTCTGCACTGCTCTCCCTTGTGCATGTGCTCTCTAATCTGACACTGTTTCCACTGATCCAATTCTGCTGGATGCTCCTCACTTACCACTACCCCACTAAAATGGAGCTGGTGCCAGAGCTCAGACAGGGGATTTGCAGACCTTATTCAGATCTGTTCAGTGTTTCCACTGACTCTAGAGCTGAGCTTTGCTGTGTTTTGGGCCTATTTTGAGTTTAAAGTCTTGTGTGCGTTAAGATGCAATGTTTTTTTGCAAAATATTTTTGCAGCATTCATACCAAAGCAATGTCTTCATTGGCAATGACTCCCTGATGTTACCTGGCACTTAATGAACATGCAGGTTTTGGTATAATTAAAGTGAGTGCTGGCATCTGGACTGTAAGTGTGCTCCAAACAAGCAAACCAAGACCACTAAAAGATCTCAGCGTCTCATCATTAAAATGAAATGGTCATTGGTCGATATCGAAATGTTGACCGATATATTGTCCATCATTTATTTATTTATTTATTTTTTGGTTTAGACCAACTTAGCAAATTAGAAGCAGACTACAATTGTAAACATCCTTCAAAAAGACCCTTGTATACCTCAAACAAAGTTATTATTTATTCTTTGTTTGAGGTCAAAAAGAAGTGATGGTACAATGTTTCTGAACCTTCTGGGTCAGTGTATCTTTTGGTCATTTGGATTTTCATTTCAGAAATGTATACTGAAAACGAGAAACAAGTTGTTTTTGGATTTTTGTTTTAAAATAAAAAAAACAAACAAAAATTTTAATTCAATGCGTTTGTTGATTTTCGTTTTTGAATTTTAAAACGAAAATAAAAAAAAAACGTTTTGTTTTCCTTTTTCATGGTAAAAAAAAAACTGAAAAACTCAATTAAAAATTTTGTTTTTCATTTTTTATTTCAAATAACAAAAAATAACATCTATAACTATAACAAATATAGCTGCATAAATTGATACATTTTATTACATAAATTGAAGTTATTAAAAATACCCCACTGCTATTATATATATATATATATATATATATATATATATATATATATATAACATGGAGAGATGAGCAATGATTCCAAACTGTCCAGTGTTACTGTCACTCCTGAAGTGGAAGTGATTTTAACAATAAACTTTATTTTCAGAAAACTTTTCAGCAATGCAAATAATGCACAGTCAATTGTTGTTCCATTTAACCGGCTTCAATGAGGAAAATATGTATTTAAAAAATCCTGTTGTCACAAGAAAATACCTTTTATAACATTGACTGTAAGTGGAGAAAAACAATTGCCTATAGTAGGTTAGCCTGTGTGTGGCAGTATTGCGTCAACGTAAATGAGTTGGCCAATCTGGTTATGCAATAAAAAAAGTCTTTATTTGTTTTTGTTTTCTGGTGATTTTATTTTTTTGTTATTCAAAATAAAAAAGGAAAATCAAATCATTTTTTTAATTTTGCTTTTCCGTTTTTCACCAATGAAGAAGAAAAAATAGCTTTTTTTCGTATTTTAATATCTTTTTCCAAAATAAAAATCCAATGACCAAAAGATACACTGACCCTTCTGACACCCCATGTAGCAGTAGGCAGGGTTGTAGATGTGCCGAGCTACTCGAATGTTCTAAACACAACAACAATAGGTTGTCAACAACATTATCATTTTCCCCCTGACCCAAAAGCGCCTGTGGTGAAAAGTTGTGGAATGAGGTCAGTTTTGGCGGCAGCAGCAGCTGCTCAGTGGAAACAGTCGAATCATCACGGAAACACACAGTTTTGGTAATGAGCACTGATTGTTTCTGTCATCTGATTTGTTGATGGTGATTCTTGCCTGATTGCCTGCTGCATGTTGAATGATTTCACTAACCGTCCTGTGAATGTATGTATGTATGTATGTGTGCCCCTCACACAGTGGCTGATGAGATTAACCTCACACAATGCACAGAGAACCACACAGGTAAGCATGACCACTTACTCACACTCTTACTTCAGTTGCATACTTCACAACATACTACTACCCCCAACCCCCACTCCCCCATCTTTTAACTCACTGTTTGTTTATATCTGTCTGTCCATCTGTCTACTGTATCTGTCTGTCTGTGTATCTATTTGCCAGTATTTGGCTGATATAACTGTGTTTTCTTTGTTTGAGTGTGTGTGTTTCTACAGTATACAGTCAAGCCCTGAAAAATCCATTGTTGTTTGTTGTTAGAGGGTGGAAAATGCATTTCATTTTTACTGTGTGGTTTTGTGGAATTACTTCGAATGATGAAATTACTGCAGTTTAAGCTCTGTGCTGCTAAAATATTTTACGTCTATCATTGCTCAGAGAAGATTCTGTTTGTGTTGAGTGTTAAATATATCAATGTTAAGAGATTAAGTTAATAACGTTCATAAAGTAAAGTAAAAAAGTTGTACTGATTATTTTTGTGGAAAGTGGGATTTTTCCAGGATTATTTTCTTTTCAGGATTATGATTTTCTTAACTAATATATTGAATACTGTATAATAAATTGAACCATGTATATTTTATTACATATAATTTTGAAATGCTATATAACATTACATTTATAATAACAATTATACGTGTAAATAAAAATATTCTCTATTTTCAATGTCACAATCAGTTTAATTGACCACCTTAACTTGTGACCACCAACCTACAGCAGTTTCATTTTGCATATATATATATTTATATATATATATATATATATATGTATGTGTGTGTGTGTGTGCGTGCGTGCGTGTGTGTGTGTGTGTGTGTGCGTGCGTGTATATATATTCGGCGGCTTAGTCCCTTTATTAATCTGGGGTCGCCACAGGTGAATGAACCGCCAACTTATCCAGAATATGTTTTACGCAGGGAATGCCCTTCCAGCTGCAACCCATCTCTGGGAGACATCCACACACACTCACCCACACCCAAACACTAAGGACAATTTAGCCTACTGAAGAATTTTTATTAGCCCCCCTTTGAATTTTATTTTATTTATTATTATTATTTTATTTTATTTATTTTATTTTTTACAATATTTCCCAAATGATGTTTAAAAGAGCAAGGACATTTTCACAGTATGTCTGATAATATATATTTTTTTTCTGGAGAAAGTCTTATTTGTATTATTTTGACTAGAATAAAGCAGTTTTAATGTTTTTAAGGTTTTTAAGGTTAAATTTTTATTAGCCCCTTTAAGCTAATTTTTTCAATAGTCTACAGAACAAACCATTTTTATACAATAACTTGCCTAATTACCCTATCCTGCCTGACCTGATTCACCTAGTTAAGCCTTTAAATATCACTATAAACTGTATAAAAGTGCCTATTAAATATCTAGTAAAATATTATTCACTGTCATCATGGCAAAGATCAAAATCAATCAGTTATTAAAAATTAGTTATTAAAACTTTCTGATTAGAAATGTGTTGAAAAAAAAATCTTCTCTCCATTAAACAGAAATTGAGGGGAAAAAAATAAACTATTAGCCTAATAGTTCAGGGGGGCTAAAAATATTTTCTTGCTTTATTTTTCTTTGTTATTATTAATATAAAATATTTTAATAAATTACTATTGACATATTTAGTGGTGTTTAAAGCCATTTTCTTCTGAAAAATAACAGCTTTGTTCTACTATTGTAGTATTACAAACACTCAGCCTTATTATATTTAAAAATAGCAAAGAGAGTCTTGACACGCTTCAGTAAGGCACTGCTGCGTGATGAAGATAAATTCACGCAATCTTTCCTGTCCTCCACTTACATTCATTTATCTTCATCACTTAATACAGAAACACTTTCACTCGCTCCCATGGCTGACTACATACAATAGCAGCGCACACACACACTCATAATGTTTAGATAAATGTACCTGCTTTTATCAGTGTTACGCTTGAGATTTGTAGCACGCGGTCTGCGTCGTTGATTGTGTTATGTGGTTAAACTGGTGAACTCTTCCTCAGGCTCTTCCACGCGAGATGTGGGCCCGTCTCTGGGACTGAAGAAGTCCAGCTCTCTGGAAAGTTTACAGACCGCAGTTGCAGAGGTTACGCTCAACGGTGACATGCCGTTTCACCGGCCGCGACCACGGATTATAAGAGGACGAGGCTGCAATGAGAGTTTCAGAGCTGCCATTGACAAATCCTACGACAGGCCTGCAGCCAATGAGGATGAAGAGGAGTGCATGGACACACGTACGGCAGTTCCTGATTGGTTTTAGCTAATAATAGTGATGATTTGATTAAAGTGATAGTTCTCCTAAAAATTAATAGTTAATACTTTACAATAAGGTTACATTGGTTATTGTATTTTATTTATACTTTTTAATGTTAGTTATTGAGTTCGTATATGTTGAACTAAGATTAATAAATGATGTAGCAGTATTTTTCATGTTAGTAAATGCATTAACTAATGAAACCTTATTGTAAAGTGTGACCATTGAAAATTCTCTCATCATTTATTCACCCTACAGTTGTTCCAAATGTATCTGAAATTTCGATCATGTTTTGAATGTTGGAAAGCCATTGACTTCTCATTGCATTTTTATTCTTGCAATGGTTTCCAACATTCTTTAAAATCTTTTTTGGATCATTTTTACATAAACTATGTAACAGTGAAAAAATAGTGATTGGACCTAGAAACTCTAAAAATGTCAAACCTAATCACAGTACTTACCCCAAAATATTTCTATTATCCATCTGCTATTTCTGCGCAGAATTTTGTAAAAAAATCTGCGGGATTATGCAGAATGACTTTTGGGAGTACTATAACTAAAACCTTAATATATGAAATAAAAAGTACTACATGTTTATCTTGTATTTAATGTTTACAATGCAAATCCACTTTATTTGGTTAACAAAGCAAGTCTCTCATATAATATCTCTACTAAAAGACAGAAAATTTTACTTTACAATTAATTAATTTTCATATTATTGATTAATATTACTGAAATTAATTGAAAAGCTGAATAAATATAAATTCACACACATTTACACAATAAACAAAATCAATGATGGGCTAAAAATTCAGTGGAATTTTGTGCACGCAGATTCTGAGCTTGCAGATTCAGAATTCCTATAAAGATGTACAAACTCATTCATACATTTACTGTAATACGATTTGCTTCTTTCTCAAGGATGGGTAAGGTTAGGGGTGGGGTTTCTGAGACATGCCTCTATTTAACCCTTTCACGCGTGAGTTTTAAATACTCCAGCTGCTCCTCCTGCGTGAGTTTTTTTTTACTGTGACCATTACTTAGAATTCATTGCGTTCTAAAGTTCCCATGGTGATGTGTCATTTCAAGTTTTTAATGTGACCCACCAGCCCCAATGATTTATGTATTTATGCTAATATGTGATAAGGCATATATTTTGTCTATTAAACAGCTTAATATAGATCATATTATTTGTTATATGATGGGTAATGGGCACCGCCGTTTTTGCTAGAAGGGATACAGCTGCAATCGGCACCCTCTCCTACAGCACAGTGAGGTCTAGATGGGATACAGCTGAGGAGACTTGTGTCAATATAGTTTATTTTTTGTGACACTGTGCAACAAATATTTTTACATTATCGTGAGGGTTGGGTTTATGGTTGAGATGCTAATAAAATACAATTAATGCATAATTGAATAAATATAAATGTTGCTCGCTAACCTCCGATGGTAGCTGTATCCCTTCTAGCAACAACCGTCGGAGAGATTCGAGCTGCTGGATTTACATCATGATTATTTATATTTTTTTCTAAAATACATAAAGGTAAGCAAGTGTTTATCTGGGAGAGGAATAGAGAAGCTTGTAGTTAGGTGTATTCTGTGCCTCAGCACGCACCAACAGATTTGAATTTTAGCAGTTGATGACGTGCGCTCTGAACGTTCTAATCACACCAGTGTGATCATATGCTTTGGGGACCAGCCAAGGCTGATCGTTCACATGAAAGGGTTAAAAATGACCACGGTTTTATACTAATTAAATCATAAATTTGTGTGAATTAGACACTTTTTTTTTTGGACAAAATAAAGAATTTTTCACAACTTCTATGACCACACTTAACAAAACTGCTCATTTTGTTGATAATAAATGATAATAACAGTATTTATCTTTACCCTGTAGTGGAGGAGGACACTGAAGGAAGCTCTCGATCCGGCCGGGATTCAGTTTCCACCGTGGCCGATCTCACTCCACTCCCTGTCACCGAGCAACAGCTGATCAATGGAAACCAGCCTGAAAACGACAAGAAGAAAGAAAAAGGGGGGAAGGACAAAAAGAAGCCGGAGAAAGAGAAGGGTAAAACAAAGAAAGGAATGCTCAAGGGCCTCGGAGAGATGTTCAGGTAATTAAAAGCGGATCTGAACAGCGTTTTGTGTCAGATAAAAGAGACTAAGAAAAATGACGATAAGAGCGCAGATGAGCCCAGAGCACTTTTTTCTTCACGTCCTTAATTACCTCAAAATCTAACAATAGAATAAAAAGCCTTGCCCAACAAACGCAACATCGGCATGTTACTGACTCAAAGACCGAGGCAACAATAGACAGAAAAACAAGATCGGTGGAAGATTTGAGGAGGGAAAATGAGTGGTGTTTAGAGATGCAAATCTCCCTAGCACTTGATGCTGTGGCGGATGTTTGCAGGGATGTTAAAGTAGGGTTCTGGCGGATTTGAGAAATATAGCTTGTAGTGAATAAATGGATCACAAAAATCAGGGTTCAGATCACTTTTTGTTTTTGTCACAAATCAAATCAGTTTTTTTATATCAGCAACAAAAATAGGAAGAAATTGGAAAGCAACTAGAACACTTTTATAATATATAACACGCTAACTCAAACTATCCATTCATTCATTTTCCTTCGGCTTAGTCCCTTATTTATCAGAGCTCGCCACTGTGGAACTATTCCAGCATATGTTTTATGCAGTGGTTGCCCTTCCAGCCAAAATCCAGCACTGGGAAGCACACATACCCACTCACACTAATACACTACAGCCAATTTAGTTCGTCCAATTCACTTATAGTGCATGTCTTTGGACTGTAGGGGAAACCGGAGCACCCAGGGGAAACCCACACGAGTGAAAACCTGCAAACTCCACACAGAAATGGCAGCTGGCTCAACCGGGACTCGAATCAGTGACTTTTTTGCTGTGAGGCGGCAGTGCTAACCACTAAACCAACGTGTCGCCAACAAACTATCTAATAATAATAATTACCACATTATTAACACAGTAGTTTATATTACAATTAGGGATGTAATGACTCATTGTAATCCATTTAACCAGTGTTTACTACAAACTAACTTAACATGCAATAGTGGCGATGACAACTTCATTTTGGCAAATTAAAGGGCGGTTTTATCAGTATTTAGATATCGTTGTACCCTCAGATTCCAGATATTCCAATATTTGCATCTGAACAGATTATTCTTCTCTCCCAGCAAACCATACATCAATAGAAAGATGGTTTATTCACCAGGTTTATTCATATATTCACAGCTTGTGTTTCTTCTCATACTGATAAACTTCCACCGAACGATTAAGGAGACTTTTTTTTCCATTTTATATGCTTCCTTTTACAGAATCAATGTTGTGATGTACTTAAAATACAATCAGTTAATTAAACTTCAGCATCCATTTAGTTGATCAAGCGTAAAACAAGATGAAAAGCCATTGACACGCTTGTGCTGTCAGGGTCAGCAGGCGAGAGCAGAAACACCACTGTAAACACTGGAGTAAAATAAATGTTCATATTTGAAAGACATGGTGTGGCAAAATTTCGTTTAATGCAGTGCTACTTGTACAATTTGAGACCCACTTTATATCGGATATTAATCAGGCAGGGAAGATTTTTCATTTTTAAAGAAAACTGACCTTAAACACATTGATTTTGTCCCCAGGTTACTGCAAAATTAAAAGCAATTATACCTTTTGTATACTTCTGCATATACCCTATTGTGCCTCGTTTTTACTGAGTAGAATGGTTCGGTATGGTACGAGTCATCTTTGTTAGACTTGTTTTTCCACTGCCAAATGGTTCCCTTTTGGAAAACGTTGCAGTCGACGTCATTCTCGCTTGAAGAAATGAAAAGTTTAGCTGTACCGGTCGTTCACATATCATACGAGAAGCATTTCTCACAAAACAGATGCTGTAAACACATGTAGTAATGTTAACCACTCTATGAACAGGATTAGATTACAGCTGCAGATCAATGAAAAAGAAAAGATTTTAAAAAAAGGAAAGGGTACCCAAAAAGTTTTTTGGTACCTTTTTACAGTGGAAATGGACATAAAAGCATACCAAACTGTATCGTACCATACCGCTTAGTGGAAATGGGTCATCTACGTAAAAAAAAAAAAAACCTTATGACTGAATTTGCAATCTAGGGTGGCATTTTGGGATATTGTGGCATTCCTGGAGTTGAATACTCAGGTGTTTAAGAGAAGAGTTTTCCAGTTTAAAAAATTCAGCTCAAGCGGAAAATAAGCATTCGGAAACGTTATGGCATTTTTATTCGCTTTCTTTACCTATGTTAACCCTTGTGTATCATTCAAATTTACCACCCTTTCATTATGTTTGTTTCTGTTTTCCCCCCATTGACTTCCATTATAATGACATTTTTTGATTGCAAAACCATGACAGCATATAATCATGCGTTCTTGATTGTGTTTGGTTTTCCCTGTTGGGAAGAGGTAAAATGTGTCATTTGTACTGTTTATCATCAGTTGGCAGCAATATCCCTTTAGATAGAGCTGTAAAAAAAAAACCTTGTGGAGTTCAATGGAGTATAACAGAAAATAATAGCATGCGTGCATAAACACACTTACTGTGTTTACGATGTTCTAAGAGCTGAGGTGCTTATTTAGATTTTTTCAGTCATATCAAGTCAAATGTCTTTCTCTCTCTCACACACACACACACACACACACACACACACACACACACACACACACACACACACACACACTACAGTACACTACACTACACTACCTGATAAAAGTCTTGTCGTTGATCTCAGTTGTAAATGCAACAAATAATAACTTGACTTCTAGTCGATCATTTGTAAAAGTGGCAGAAGGTAGATTTTTTCCGATTGGCCATCCCAGTCACCAGAGATGAACATTATTGAGCATGTCGGTGGTAAGAGGAAGGAGGAGGCATTGAAGATGAATCCAAAGAATCTTGATGAACTCTGGGAGCCCTGCAAGAACGCTTTCTTTGCCATTCCAGATGACTTTATTAAGTTATTTGAGTCATTGCAGAAATGTATGGATGCAGTCCTCCAAGCTTGTGGGAGTCAGACACAAAATTTATTATTTTTCCACTGCACCATGATTTTATATTCTATACTGTACATTATTTCTGTTAAGTAACAAGACTTTTGTCTAAGCAAAGTTAGACCTTGTTGTCCTAATTAAATAATTACAAATCAAGGCCTGATCATATTTTATTTTGGTAAAATAGGTGTAATTTAGATGCCTTTGCCTTACATATAAGCCACAAGTCTGATACCAAATGATCAACTAGAAGTCAAGTTATTATTTGCTGTTCCTGAAACTTGGATAGGTGGCAAGAGTTTTGTCTGGTAGTGTATACTCTATATGACTCTATATCAGGGATGTCCAAACTCGGTCCTGGAGGGCCTGCATAGTTTAGCTCCAACTTCCTCCAACAGACCTGCCTGGAAGTCTAGTATACCTAGAAAGAGCTTGATTAGCTGGTTCAGGTGTGTTGAATTGGGATTGGAACTAAAATATGAGACCAAGTTTGGACACCAATGCTCTATTTAAAAGCCAGAAACTACACTTTTTTGCCCTGCAACTCATGATCAGCAATAAAAATTACAAATTTGACCTCTTCCCAACATGGAAAACCACCACCAACAACAAAAAAATCCATTTTTATATGGTGTCATGGCTTATAAAAAAAATGGAATGAAAGCCAATGGGGCAAAAACAGCCACTAACATAATGAAAGGGTAGTCAATTTGCCCAGAGCACTTTCCCAAATTATGTGTCACTGTAACACGGGGAGTGACACCGACAACTGAGTTAGGATCAACGTTCAGGTTTATTGGAGTAGTCAGGCAAGCAATGGTCAACACGGATGCAAACAGGTGTATAAAGGCAGCTCAGAATCACAGTATAACAACAGGCAAGAGGTCGGAAGGCAAACGGCAAACAGGGACAAAGAGATAAACTAGGTGACGATCAAAACACGGGGAAACAAGACGAGGTAAACGCGTTGTAGTGTCACTAACAGTAAACAAGACTCAGCAATGGAAGTGAGTGTGTGTGCTGCTTAAATAGTGTGTGTAATCAATCTTTGACAATCCTCAGGTGGTGCGAGTGTAATCAGTCAGAATGAGGAAGCATGTGTGTGTGTGAGCGGAGTACATGTATGAAAATGTAGTCCATAAATGGCGGATTTGTGGTCCATAAGTTATTGTAAGTGAAATCCAGTGATCTATGAAGTTACGATCGCTGGTGATCGTGACAGTCACAATAAGATGTCACCAAAATTCATTCCATTTCCATTTGAAATAGAGAGAAAGTTGTTGCCAAATTAAGACTCAAAATCAAGGCTTGAGCTGCTTTATTACAGTCTAAAGTGTAAAAAGCAAATAAAGATTATTCGATTTAATTTATAGATACAGAGGGAAAAACTTGCTCTTTCCTGAATAAAATGAATTTGTTAAAGCAAAATTAGTCATACTTTGATTTGTAGCAGACTGCAGGTCTTCTCAGCAAGTGCTTGGACTTCTTCGCCAATTATTAAAAAGTAATAGTGTTGAAATAGAGGGATGAATATTGATAGGCAGTGCGGATTGACAGTGTGTTCCCCGAGCTCCAGGCAGGATGGACAATCACATCCAAAGACCCTGAGGAAAAGTCTGGAGTTTCTCTCAAGTTTGTCAGACCGGACTGGAGAGGAGAGAAAGAGAGCTCATTTGAAGCTTTTTGAATCTGTCAGCAATAGATAAATCATTTTTGAAAAACGTCGAATATTTTTCCCGACTGCTTCTGGGGCAGTGGAGCGTGTTAATGGCTGTCATCTGCCTGGCTGAGCCAAAAGCTACCTGCTACATATTAATGAGCGCTCTACATATTAATGAGCGCAGACAAATATCAGAAGTGGGATGCAAATAAATGTATTGAAACTCCATTCAGCTTTCCCTCTCTCACGCACACACATTTCGCGCACATGTCAGCGGAATATTAATGAATTGATATGCTTGATAAAGCAAAGATTTGCAGAGAAGAGTAGACCTTTTAGCGCACTCTCTTTCTCTCTTTGCCGAGTTGCAAAACAGTGATTAGTTTGTTAAATGAATTAGAATAGATGGATTAAGAGCTTTAATGTCAGTGAAATTAGAGCTGATGGGTTGAAGAGCTTTTTCAGATTTTCTCAGCCCATTGAATTTAAAGTGGCACGTGAAGCTTCATTATTTTGTATCCCAAAAAAATATTTAATAATTCTTTGAATTAAGATGCTTTGTTAATTGAGAGAAATGCTGAATTATTACATACTGGGGTTAAAGTTAACCCTGGACAATCACTGTCAATGTGTGTTAAGAATTAGTGTTGGTGACTGCATGAAACCTTTTAGTGGCAAGTTTACTTTTTCTTTTAAAAATATGTAGTTGTAAGAATGCAATTAGCAACTTGCAAAGACTGCATAAATAAAATTTTGAAATAATTTTTTAGATATGCAAAACATTTTATTAAAGCTTTTATTGTAGAAAAAAAACCACTTGAAATTTAACATGAAATTACACCTTTTTTTTACATTTTAATTCTCCCCCCTCACTTTCCCAAAGCATCCAAATTCAGTTGTACAGGTAAATATATTGTTGAAGTGAAATGGGCTAAAACAAATAAAACCATATACTGTATTCCACATATAAAAATGCACATACAGTTCAAATCAGAATTATTAGCCCCCATTTGAATTATTTTTTTTATATTTCCCAAATGATGTTTAGGGAAATGTTCACAGTATGTCTGATAATATTGTTTCTTCTGGAGAAAGTCTTATTTGTTTTATTTCGGCTAGAATAAAGGCAGTTTTTAATTTTTAAACATTATTTTAAGGTCAAAATTATTACCCCCTTTAAGCTATATTTTTTCGATGGTCTACAGAACAAACCATCGATATACAATAACTTGCCCAATTACCCTAACCTGCCTAGCTAACCTAATTAACCTAGTTAAGCCTTTAAATGTCACTTTAGGCTCTAAAGAAGTGTCCTGAAAATATCTAGTCTAATATTATTTACTGTCAACATGGCAAAGAGAAAATAAATCAGTTGTTAGAAATAAGTTATTAAACTATTGCGTTTAGAAATGTGTTGAAAAAGTCTTCTCTCCATTAAACAGAAATTAAGTAAAAAATAAACAGAGGTAATAATTCAGGGGGTTTAATAATTCTGACTTCCACTGTATATACTGTAACAGTAAATTCGAATTTTTATTTAGCTTTTGTTTATTATGTAATACAGCATTAATTAAACTCTGTTTTATTGATGCATGTTAGTCAGAGAACTATAAGTTCACATTTTCTTTCTCTCTGAATTTAGCAATACAATAATATATTATTGCATCAAGAACAACATAAAAAACAAAACACAAATAAAAATATATAATAAGATAGATAAAATAACATTATAGATAAAAGTAACATATATCAGGCCTTACAACAATACAGACAAATATCTAAATACAAATATGCAAAAGGTACAGCAGTAAAAAAATTAATTAATTAACATGTTTTCTTTGTGGTCTCCATTCATAGCTTAACCCAGGGGCAGGGAAAATATGTCATATAGTTTTAGTTTTTTTTTTTTTTTTGTAATACTTTTATACTAATATTTATGATTTGTTGTATATAACTGATTAGGATTATTTGTTGCATTTTTGTCATTTTACTGATGCCCTGCAGTTACATAATTATAATAAAAGTCATTATTATTATTATTTTAGTCATGTTAAATTACTGTTAATTCAAATTATTATAATAAAAAAATTATACTAATAATCAATATTTCTTGGATATTAATTATTAACATTATTGCAGTAGTTTGGAATTTTACTGTTAGTATGTAATTACATTTTTATAAAATAATAATAATAATAATCATTATTATTTTAATCATTTTATAAATACATTTCTGTATAGAATTTCAAACTATTATATAAAAACTTTATCATAATAGTGTTATAGTCATCATTTTATTTCTTCAAGAGACCATTCAAAAATGTAGCTTGTTTAAATTGATAAATTATTGTTAGAAGTTTTGAGTCAAACACAATTTAGTTTTATTCCCCTAGTATGTTTTTAATTAAGTAGCTCACATCTTTACAGCTTCAATAAAAATATTTACAGTCAGTATTACCACTTCAGCCTGTGATATCCATGTTTTGTGTGTTGCAGGTTTGGAAAGTACCGTAAGGATGAGCGATTAGACGGTGCCAAGTGGAAAGCAGAGGAAACCCATGCATCTGAAGAGGAGACTCGCAGAATGAAGCAAGAGCAGGAGAGGTAAACACACACACACACACACACACACACTAACCTTCATCATCATTAACCTCTAATCAAAGGCATTTCCTGACACTTTACCTGCCAGTCTTACCCACATCCTCAAACCCTCTTCCTGGTGATTGTTTCAGGGCTGTCATTGTTTGGTGAAGCTCTTGTTCTAATGCTTGAGTAAAAGCCTAATATGTTTTGGTCATTTGAGGTTGATTGTGTGTGTGTATGTATGTATGCCTGCAGGTGTATGTGTGTTCATGTTGTTTTATTAATAATGCCATGTTGAACCCCCTCCGGTCTACCTTCTGTCCTGCGAGACCCTGCTGAGCACTCGCTACTCCTTCAATCTCTTTCTTAATCTTTCTCTGTCACACACATTCATAAATCATCCTGCTTTTGAGGGGGTTATAAATCTGCTCCTTTTTTGGTCATAATAAATTAGGTTTTGGGTTTTGACACCATTTATACATTTTTATGTTTGTTTTTGTAGATACAAAGGATTTTTCCCCAGTGAACTTCATCTACTGAAATAAGCTAAAACTGAATTATCGCCATATTGTAAAAACTTCAAAGACTTAGCTACAACTAAAACCATAATAAATTCTTTTAAATTGTATTAGGAAAATAAATTATATATTTATATATATATATATATATATATATATGTATGTATGTATGTATGTATGTATGTATGTATGTATGTATGTATGTATGTATGTATGTATGTATGTATGTATGGATGGATGGATGGATGGATGGATGCATGCATGGATGGATGGATGGATGGATGGATGGATGTATGGATGTATGTATGTATGTATGTATGTATGTATGTATGTATGTATGTATGTATGTATGTATGTATGTATGTATGTATGTATGTATGTATGGATGGATGGATGGATGGATGGATGGATGGATGGATGGATGGATGGATGGATGGATGTATTATATGTGTATTAGGAAACAAACTGGACATTTTTTTAGGTATACTTGTCCAACTGAGCATCGTAATGGGGATGAACAGAAATTTAAGTGACTTTGAATGTGGTTTGGTTGTTGGTACCAGCAACTGCATGATGCTATCATGTCAATATGGACTAAAATCTCTAAGGAATATTTCCAGTACCGTGTTGAATCTATGCCACGAATGATTAAGGCAGTTCTGAAGGCATAAAGGGTTCCAACCTGGTACTAGTAAGGTGTACCTAATAAAGTGGCTAGTTAGTGTATATCACATTATATTTGTGGCCAAATGGTCTTTGCATTATTTATTTATTTCCATATTTTTAACAGTGACGTTTGGAAAAAAAATACTATTTTAGTATTATTATAGCAAGCCACTTAGTAACCACTTTGATTGTTAAGGAAATTATCTCTTTTAAAATTAAAAGAGCTTAAAGTTTTTATGTTAATGTATTTCCTAGCCATCTTAATAAGCAAAGTAGGCTACATTGAAGCACACACTTACCAAATTTGTGGCGAAAGTAAAGGGCGAACTGAAAGCTCGTCTTTTTTAAAAGACAACTGGCTGTGAATTTGCTTTGAAATGTATTTTTAAACTGGAAGAACAAATTTATTCTAAACAATGCTAAAATAATACATTTTCACTCAATAGTAAAATGTAGATGTTTTTTCAACGTGCCACACGCATAAACACTCATTGGCCACTTTATTAGGTACACCTTACTAGTACCGGCTTGGACCCCCTTTCGCCGTCAGAACTGCCACTTTGTGGCATAGATTCAACAAGTTACTGGAATTATTGCTCTGAGATTTTGGTCCATATTGACATGATAGCATCACACTGTTGCTATAGATTTGCACATCCATGGTGTGAATCTTCTGTTCCACCACATCCCAAAGGTGCTCTATTGGATTGAGCTCTGGTGACTGTGGAGGCCATTTAAGTACAGTGAACTCATTGTCATATTCAGGAAACCAGTCTGAGATGATTCACGCTTTGACATGGCGCGTTATCCTGTTGGAAATAGCTATCAGAAGATGGGTACACTGTGTGGTCATAAAGGGATGGACATGGTCTGGTACAAAGCTCAGGTAGGCTGTGGCGTTGACACAATTCTCATTTGGTACTAACGGGCCCAAAGTGTGTCAAGAGAATATCCCCCACACCAATACACCACCACCACCAGCCTGATCTGTTGATACAAGGCAGGATGGATCCATGCTTTCATGGTGTTGATGCCAAATTCTGACCCTCCCATCCGAATGTGGCAGCAGAAATCAAGACTCATCAGACCAGGAAATGTTTTTCCAATCTTCTATTGTCCAATTTTGGTGAACCTGTGTTAATTGTAGCCTCAGTTTCCTGTTCTTAGCTGACAGGAGTTGCACCCTGTGTGTTCTTCTGCTGCTGTAGCCCATCCACCTCATGGTTGGACGTGTTGTGCGTTCAGAGATTCTTCTGCATAACTCGCTTGTAGCAAGAGGTTAATTGAGTTACTGTTGCCTTTCCATCAGCTGGAACCAGTCTTTGAAGTCTGGCATCAACAAGGCATTTGCTCCCACAGAACTGCTGCTCTCTGGATGTTTTTTCTTTTTCAGACCATTCCCTGTAAAGCCTAGAAATGGGTGTGCATGAAAATCCCAGTAGATCAACAGTTTCTAAAATACTTAGACCAGCCCATCTCGCAACAACAACCATGCCACATTCAAAGTCACTTAAATCATCTTTCTTCCCCATTCTCATGCTCGGTTTTAACTGCAGCAGATTGTCTTGAACATGTCTTCATGCCTAAATGCATTCCGTTGCTGCCATGTGATTGGCTAATTAGAAATTTGCTTTAATAAGCAGTTGGACAGGTGTATCTAATAAAGTGGATGGTTAGTGTATATCTCAGAAAATGTCTTTTAGAGTTTCATCACCCTTAATTTGATTTATTAAAACCATAGAAAAAAATAAATATATTGTTTACTGTACGTCATAAACAAAAAATAATGCATATATAATGAATATTCAAAGCACAGAGACATTTTTAACTGGATATGTTTAGGTTAGTACCAAACTAAACTTTATTCTTCAGTAATTTCTGTAATAATATGACACTTTTCATCTTCTGTTGATTTGTTATTTGTTACTTTTTAATCTTTCCTTTTTATTGTGCGTCTATTTTCAAATTTTTTTCTTAATATCTGTGTCTATGCAGGATCCAGGCAAAAACGCGAGAGATTCGTCAGCGTCAGGCCAGAGAGCGAGACTATGCCGAGATCCAGGACTTCAGTCGATCCACCCTGACCTCACTTCCTCCCGAGGAGCCTCCGTACGCAGGCATCGGCTCTCTGGAGCACGGCGGGTACCATCGCATCCACACTCCTCCAGATTCACCATACACACAGAAGCAGAACGGACGCAATGGACACCCCTCCACTTCAGACAGGTACTAATCAGCTTTTCAGAATTGCAGAAATACAAAGTTCTATCATGAAACTCAATTGGGCGCGCAGGATGATGAATCCCATCCAATCTGCTTCCAACAACATGGCATTGGACAATTGATGGTTGGTTTAACAAGGTTGATTTCCATTCATGTGAAATGTTTGAGGCCTAACTGTACATCTAAAACATGTCAAACAGATGCCAGGGGAAAAATAAGCGAGCAGGAATTAATTTATTAAAATGCTACTGTACTTGGAGAAACAGAACAGGCCATCAGTTTGACATTCAGTGTTGTGTTGGTGTTTTTGATTCTCTCCAGATTTTCCTTAATATGCACAGCATCTTTTGCACACAATACAATAAATGTAATGGCTTACTGTACATGGACACACACACACACACACGTGCACCAGTTGCCAGTCTGTACTTTTGAAATTGTGCTGCTGAAACTGAAAGAAGGCACCATTCACACAGAATACGTCTTTGTGTCTGCATCTAAAAAGACTCAGTGCTTTGGAATAGATTTTTTTAAGCCATTGGAGGATATGCAAACACATCCACTATGAGTGCTTTCTCCAACATGTTGCCATCAAATAAAAATGGTTATGCCGACTACTTCTATACACTCCATAGAGAGAGGGTTCATCCGAAATTGCATACTTTTCTATTATATAGTATGTTAAAAACAATATGTGAGCCAAGTAGTACAGTACTGTATGTCCAAATTTATATTCGATAAACAGCATGACCTACCACTTCTGGGGACATTGTAAAGTTTACATACATTGGACGCTACGCTATGCCATGATGTCTCACCATGCTATGCCAGGAGAATTCTTGAATGGGAGTAAACTGACGTCAAATGGCAGATGTAGTATGTCCCAAGACCATGCTTTTTTAACAGTTGTGTAGTAAATTAAAATGGAATATCACATATTCGAAATCGCAATGAGCGCATCTGCAATAGTCAAATCACACGATTGTTGAGTCTGAAATATAGTTGACCATGAGCGACAGAACAAATGTGATTTGTAGAAACAATTCAATTCAATTAAATTCAGCTTTATTTGTATAGCGCTTTTACAATGTAGATTGTGTCAAAGCAGCTTCACATAATGGTCATAGTAACTGAAACAGTGTGGTTCAGTAACTGGAACAGTGTGGTTCAGGTTTTAGTGTTTAAGTTCAGTTCAGTTCAGTTTAGCTCAGTTCAGTGTGATTTAATCATTACTGAGAGTTCAAACACTGAAGAGCCAATTCATCGATGCGTAGCTCTACCAATCCTGAACCATGCGAGGCAGTGGCGACAGCGGAGAGGGAAAAAAACTTCACCTGATGGGAGTGAAGAAAAAAAACCTTGAGAGAACCAGACTCAGTTGGGCACGACCATTTTAATTTCTCCGCTGGCCAAAAGTCTTGTGCAGAGCTTCATTCGTCGTGGTTTAGGCTGGAAGATGGCCTCAGCGAAGACTCGTCTGTCCCTGGAGCGTCGCTGGAATCAGACTCATGTTCTCCACTCCCCACGACCATCAGCGCAGCAGCAGCTCAGGATATGGCCTGGTCCCGGATATGGAATCCTTGGGATCATCACGTCGCTGGTCTTGGATCCAATCAGTGACTCCGCATAATCTGAGGACCTCGGGATGAGTATCCCCAGGTGAAAATAGAGAATAAAGAAAATAATTAGCGTAGCTGCTGTTCATAGTGTATATAAGCAAGATGCAGAAGCCAGTGTTTAACCATAATAATGAAGGTTTATAATTTGCATGTGTTTTTAAGACCTGTGACAGCATTTTAGGAGAGTTAAGAACATTTGAACAAAAAATGATGATGTTTGAAGGTGTAACAAAGATATATTTTATTTAATTATTCATGCAGAATTGATACTATTATGATTTATGAATTCATACGAAAAAGTTTCTAGTCCAAATATCTACATTTCAATTGAAACATGATTAGTTTACCAAATTGGAAGATAATTTTACTTCTTTTAAGGAAAAACCCTTAATTTTGACTCCAAGAATTTGATATTTGGATTAGAAACAAAACAAAGCAAAGGAAGAAAAACAAAATAGAAAATAGTAAGAAAATGCCAAATAGAGCTATTCAAACCATCTTTTGAAACTGTATTGATAGCACAATATTTATAGCAGAAAAATAAAATATCGCAATATCAGATTATTCCAGTATCGTGCAGCCCTAATTGAAGTGTAGTTACAACTCGAGTAGTAGGCCATTTTAGACGCAGACCAGAGAGAGTTGTAACAACAGAATTCCAAAATGTTAGATCGTCACATGATTCATCTAGACCAGGGGTGTCCAAATTCGGTGTTAAAGGGCCGGTGTCCTGGAGAGTTTATCTCCAACTTGCTTCAACACACCTGCCAGGAAGTTTCTAGTATATCTAGTAAGAGCTTGATTAGCTGCTTCAGGTGTGTTTGATTAGGGTTAGAGCTAAACTTTCCTGGACGCTAGCCCTCCAGGACCTTTATGGCATCTTAAAAAAGTGGTGCTCATGTACGAGGTGCTTCTAAACATCCAAAAGCAGAGCATAATGTTCATTAGAAGTGTTTAGTAATGCACATTAGAAGTGTTTAGTAAGTTACTTAAAAAAAATTATAGATTACAAATTACTGAAATACTAATGGAAAATTGTAATGTGATTATATTACTTCATGTAAAAAGTAACCAAAGTAAAGTAATTAGTAATCTGAAGTTACTTTTAAAACATATAAAATATAACAATGAAAATACAAAATAAACTGCAGCTCTTTCAGTAATTTAGTATTTCACCGCAGCTTGACATATTGACTTGACATATAAAAAGACTTAAAGAGTTCGGTTAAAACTTAAAATTCTCTTATCTACTTGTTTCAATCCTGTTTGTCTTTTTTTTTTTTTTTTTACACAAAGTAAGACATTTAGAAGAAAACTGGATACCTGTGATTATTGACATCTATATTATCAAAAAGCACTGCAGTGTTTGGGTGTTCTGTGTTTGTCTGAGGTAATTAGTCTACTGAATTGTATATATTTCATGCAAAGTATGAAGCTGATTGGTCAGTTCTTGTTACATGACTCGCAGTCTTCAACTGATCTCTCTGGAAAATGGCCGTGTGCATTATGCACTCCGAATATTTGTGTGCAAGCCTTGCGCATTCATTAGAAATAACAAGCTTGAGCGTGCAAAAGATGCAATATGTGAACGGCCCCATAGGCAGCTACGCTTCTCTATACTTCTGTATTTTTGAGCACCGGTGTCCTCCTTGGTGACGAGTATTGTTATAGAATGCTTTCTGTTCAAGTGCTTGAACAAGTTGCTGGTCGAGTTAAAAGAAGTAAGAAGTTCTTTAGAGACTGGACGTAGACTGCATTTCGCAGCAATATTTTTGTTTTTATGCTCAATGAAATCAAAGTAATGTCTGTATTTCCACTTGAAGAAGAAGCCACTCTCAACAGCAACAATTTCAGCAAGCATTCTCCAGCAATTTAAAAGTGCATGCTTATTAACTGATGTTACAGTTGAAAACGTGATTTAAACAAAGCATTTTTCTTCTAAAACTGTTTGTAACTCAAGTAATGCAATTACATTGACTTTAGTAACTGTTATTAAATTACACAAATTTAAAAAGTAATTAGTTACATTACTGCGTTCCCCATGTAATTAGAAATATTAATATGAATATGAAATCGTGAATATGTAATATGAAATCGTGTAATTATTGACTATTTGTCATTTGTGTGCATTTTAAGCTTGTGCTTTAAGTCTTCAAAATGCTACCTTCTCTGCAATGTCGTAAACGCCATATTGCTTTTCGGATCCTCTTATCGGATTTGATGTTTTGGACAGTGTTTTTTTCCTGTAAAATGGTAACAACCAGTACAGCGAAGAGACGGCAGCATGGCAGCAAGATCAAATTATGAAGCTAAAATAAAATGTCTGTTTCTAACGTCTTGGAAGCAGACATTTACATGAGATCACAATGAAAAAAGTTATTTATAGCGATATTTATAATTTTAAAAAATATATATATATTTTTTGCATTATTTGCCAGTCAACCACCTTTTGTTAAATAATTTCGAACTGCAATAAAATGCCGCCACATTTTCCATACTGCTCTTTTTGTTTGCATAACACTGAATTTTGCTCATTATACATTTTTACATTTTTTAAATATTGAAATCCTTGTTGGCGTGGGTTTCCTTTGGGTGCTCCGGTTTCCCCCACAAGTCCAAACACATGCAGTACAGATGAATTGGGTAAGCTAAATTTTCCGTAGTGTATGAGTGTAAGTGTGTATAGATGTTTCCCAGTGATTCCCAGGCAAGAAAAATCTGAACCATTGGCCTGATCAGACCAGTAGAAAAAATCTTTATCTTTGAACCTTGAATTAGAATACAGTAACGCGTTACTGTGGAACATGTTACACCCAACTCTGGACATTAGTAAAAGCGCATTGGAAAAGAGGAAAAAGTTGAGTGTGAATGACTCCTTAGTCATTGTTTTTAACCATTAAGAGGTTACCTCAGTGTCCACAGGAACATGGGTATGTTCAAAGCTGCACATTTTTTCTACGTGGTTTTGTTGTTGGTCTATACGAAGACGGAGTATTTTGGTGCCAGTTTATCAGGAAGTGATGATTTTTTTTTCTCTCTTTGCTCTCTTTGAAATTGTCTAATTCGCATTATTGAATGGAAATATAACTCATGTGTGACTGAAGTAGACACCTCTCACATTACTAAGGTTAATGATGAATTCCTTAATTAAATCTTTATTTAAATGATCACGGCAATGTTTGGAAATGAACATCGATAGTGTAAAGTCATTCTCAGGGGCTTTAATAAAAGCCAGTTTGTGGGACAGCTTTGTTTGGGTTTTGTGAGAGTTGCATGTTTTCTTGTGACTAAAACAAACACAGGCTTAGCGAGACAGGAAGGCCACTTCCTGTAAGAGCCCTCAGGGAACAGGAAGTGGGTGTCATTCCTCAGAATGGAACTGTGGGAATTATCCTCACAAATCTGCAGAGGGAAGTGGATCTTAAAGGGGCCACAGTTTGTGGGTGGGGGTGTTGTAACGGGTTTTAGAGGGAAATGCTGTGTGTGTATTTGTGTGTTGTGCTATACAAACAGCATATCATGTGTAGTCACCTTAAAGCTACCTGTTTTGTTTTGTTTTGGTCAATCAGCTTCTTTACAAGCTGTCAGACAGTATTACTTTATACCAAATCGTCTGTCAACGTGGCAATCTAAGACGCCCTTTTCCG